CTACAGGTTCGAGACCCACCTGGGCAACTTGGCAAGACCTCATCTCTACAATAAGTCAAAAATTAGCCGGGTGTGGTAGTGTGTGCCTGTAGTTCCAGCTACTTGGAAGGCTGAGGCAGAAGGATCGCCGGAGCCCAGTAGGTCGAGGCTGCTGTGGCCGGGAGCGGCCACTGCACTCCAGTCTGGGTGACAGAGTGAGACTCCAACTCAAAAAAAAAAAAAACCTCAAATAATCAGCATTTAAATCATTGAAATTGGAGGATTAAGCAAGTTGGCTGTATGTAAAATTAATATATAAAAATCAATTGCCTTTCTATCCAAAGCAACAAATAGTAAGAAAATGATAATAAAAAGGTACAATTTATAATAACCTAAAAATATGGAGTTTCTACAGAATAAATCTAAAAAGTGTGTAAAATATTTATGGAGAAAGTTATAAAATTTATAATAATTTCATATATTTATAAAGTTATAAATTATGCTGCATCCTCATTTGGCAGAAGGAGGTGAAAGGGAGAAACTTGCTCTCTCAACCCGCTTATCGTGGCACTAATCCCATCCATGAGGGTGTAGCCCACATGGCCTAATCACCTCCTAAAGGCCCCACCTCTAAATACTGTTGAATTGAAAATTAAGTTTCAACATGAATTTTGGAGGGACACAAACATTCAAATAATAGCAGAAGGCTTCTCTATGTATTTTTGTCTTTTTCATTTAGGTCTTGAATCCAACAGGATCGGTTTTTATATTTGGTGTAACACAGCAGGTCCAGTTATATTCTTTTTCATTAAGAGAAAACAGATTGGCTCAGGACCATTTATTAAAAATTTGTTTTTCCCACATTGAACTGAAATACCAACTCTGATATTTAGCAGATGTCCATATATACATGTATGGGCTCTCTGTTCCTTTGTTTATTCTCTGTTCCTTTATTTATTACCAGTACCACACTGTCTTAATGACTATAGGTTTATGGTAAGTCTTGATATCTAATAGCATCTGGCCAATACTCCCACCTTTTCCATGGCTATTCATGATCCATTGCACTTATGTATACATTTTATATTCAGTTTGTGACGTTCCACCAAAAAAATAAGTGTTTTGAGAGGAGTTGCATATCTATTTTAGGAGAATTTACTTTTTATTACATTGAGGCCTCCAGTTCAAACCTGGCATGTCTTTCCATTTATTTGGATCTTTTAAACTGTTTTAAATAGGCCAGGCTCGGTGGCTCAACCTGTAATCCCAGCGCTTTGGGAGGCCATGGCGAGAGGATTGCCTGAGCCTGCGGGTTCGAGACCAGCCTGGGCAACTTGGCGAGACCTCATCTCTACAATAAATAAAAAAATTAGTGGGGCATGGTAGCGCATACCTATAGTTCTAGCTACTTGGAAGGCTGAGGTGGAAAGATTGCCAGAGCCCAGCAGGTCGACGCTGGGGTGACTGTGAGCATGCCACTGCACTCCAGTCTGGGCAATGGAGTGAGACTCCAACTCAAAAAAAAAAGTTTTAAATAAATTTTATAATTTTCTCCATATATATTTTATACACTCTTTAGACTTACTCTGTAGATACTCCATATTTTTTAGGTTATTATAAATTGTATCTTTTTAATGTTATTTTCTTACTATTTGTTGCTTTGGATAGAAAGGCAATTGATTCTTATATATTGATTTTACATACAGCAAACTTGCTTTATCCTCCACTTCTAATAATTTATATGTTGATTATTTGTGATTTTCTATATAGTCAATCTTATTATTTTCTAATGATAGCAAGAAAAATACTTTCTTCCTTTCCTATTTGTGTATTTCATATTTTTGTGTGTGTGCCTTACTCCACTGACAGGTTTTCTGATACAATGTTGAAAAGGGCTGTTCTTGCTTCTCTTTTCTTTTTTTTTTTTTTTTTTTTTGAGTTGGAGTCTCACTTGGTCCCCCAGACTGGAGTGCAGTGGCCGCTCCCGGCCACCACAGCCTCGCCCTGCTGGGCTCCGGCGATCCTTTCGCCTCAGCCTTCCAAGTAGCTGGAACTACAGGCACGCGCTACCATGCCCAGCTCATTTTGATTTATTGTAGAGATGAGGTCTCACCAAGTTGCCCGGACAGGTCTCAAACCCACAGGCTCAGGCAGTTCACTCGCCTCGGCCTCCCAAAGTGCTGGGATTACAGGCTGAGCCACCGAGCCCGGCCCCAGATGTAGAAATATTAATGAAGAAATGCTGAAACCAGAAACAGCCGGGCTCGGTGCCTCAGCCCAGCAGGGCGAGGCTGCGGTGGCCGGGAGCGTGCCACTACACTCCAGTCAGGGTGACAGAGTGAGACTCCAACTCAGTCAGTCAGTCAATCAATAAAATATTTCTACATCTGTTGAGATGGTCTGTTGAGATGATCACATATTTTTCTATCTATCTGTTATTGTGGTAACTTATATTCATTAATTTACTGATACTAAACTACTCTTGCATTCCTGAGACCACACTATCTTGGTCATGATGAATTATTCTATACATTTCTGAATGTTTTTTATTAATGTATTGTTAAAATGTTTGTATTTTTGTTCATAAATGAAAATGGTCTATACTTTCCGTTCTGTGTTGTCATAGTCATATTTTAATATCAAAATTATGTCAACCTCATTAAGAAAAAGTGGGGGCCAAGTAGTTTCTCTTTTTCTGTATATTGGGATAGTTTATATAAGAAAGAGTATAGACACATTTAGGTTTATATTTCTTTTTGTTTCAATTTTTATAAGTTAAAATTTTCTAGAATTTTTTTCATTTCATCTAAATTTTCATATATTTGCATAATGCTGTTTATGAACTTTTATTATCCTTTAACTCTCTAGAGCATCTAAAGTTATGACCCTATGTTTATTCATAAATAATTTGTGTCCTTCTTTTTCTTGGAAAAAAATATTGCCACAAAGTTATTGGAGTTGCCAGACTCTTGGAAGAACCTATGTTTACTTTTTTTGATCTACACTCTTGTATGTTTATTTTATTTTATTAGCTCTGTTCTTATTTTTATAATTTTCTTCTAACTATTTGAATTTATTTTACGATCTTTCTCTAATTTCTTAAATTATTTACTCATTAAATGTTAATCTTTCTTTTTTAAACATTGTTAAAATTTCCCTCTAAGTAATGCTTTTACATCTCCACACATTTTGATATATGATTTTTTTGTTGTTATTTAGTTCTAAATATTTTGTAAATTTACATTTGAGTTGTTCCTTGTCCTGTGAGGTATTTGTAGATTTCTTAATTTCCAAAACATAGGAATTCTCTGGTTATCTTTTTGTTTCTGGTTTCTAGCATAATTACATTGTACTCAGCAAATGCTTTATGTTTGATATCAATTTGTCAAAATCATTGAGACTTGCTTTCTGGCCCTGCATATTGTCACTTTTTATGAATGTTCCCCGGGTGTTCCAAAATTAACCACACTGAATTTTGAAGCTGCTAGGCATAGTCTATATATGTCTATTATATCAACTTGGTCTCTTGTGTGGATCAAATCTTTATTATTATTGTTGTTGTTGTTGTTGTTGTTGTTATCATTAGAGTCAGGGTCTTACTCTGTCACCCAGGCTGGAATGTAGTGGCAGGATCATGGCTCACCACAGCCTTGAACTCCTGGGATCAGGCAGTCCTCCTGCCTCAGCCTCCTTCCTGGGACCATAGGCACACACACCATACCCAGTTAATTTTTTTTATTTTTGATAGAGGCGAGGTCTCACTATGTTGCCTAGGCTGGTCTCAAACTCCTGGGCTCAAGCAGTCTGCTTGCCTTAGCCTCCCAAAGTGCTGGGATTATAGGCGTGAGCCACTGCGTTCAACCTGTATCATTTTTTAATACTTGATCTGTCGGGTGCTGTTAGAGATGTGTTAAAAATCTCTCACTATTATTGTAATTTATTACATTCTTTTTGTAAATGTTGCTTATATATTTTCAATCTGTGTTATTAGGTACACATGAGTTTAAGCTTTTATATCCATTTTGGTATGAGAAATATAGTCACTTAAGGAGGCCCAAATTTGCACTATAGGTTATTTTGGTTCAGTAATCCTGATTTTTATATTTTGTAAAACATTTAATAAGCCACACTTGATACAAAAAGGTTATTGCTATCATATTTAGCAATTTAGATTTTAAAATATTTGTGCTTCTTAACCTTGTTAATCCCTTTCTGGGAAACTATTCAAAATAGTATTCAGAAGTAGATAAAAAGCTTTATGTGCCAAAATACATATTTGTGATGGTGAAAAGATAAAAGCAAACATGAATTCTAACAATAGGAGAGTGGTTATATAACTGTGACATATTTACAGGATGGTATATTATGCAGCCACTGGAATAATTTATAAGGAATTTGTAATAATACTGCAAAGTTACCATGTCACAATGATACACAAATAAAGCAGACTGCAGTTGGATCCCCTTACCTAAGGGGGTACATTCCAACCCCAGCAGCTGCCTAAACCTGTGGATAACAACAGAGCTTATGTATACTGTGTTCCTTGTTATCCATACATTCCTATGATAAAGTTTAATTTATAAATTAAGCACAGGAAGAGATTAACTGTAAGAGATTAGTAATAACTAATAATAAAGTGGAACAATAACAACAATATGCCAGCATCACTACTCTTGTGCTTTGGTACCATTATTAAGCAAAATAAGGGTTCCTTGAAGACAAGCACAATACCACAACAGTCCATCTGATAATTTAGCTGGCTACTAGGTGACTCACAGACAGGTGACATACTCAACGTGGATACACCAGACAAGGGGGTGATCATGTCCCCAGTCGGATAGAGTAGGACAGTCTCATCATGTTAACTCAGAATGGTGTGTAGTTTATAACTTGTGCATTCTTTATTTTGGAAATTTTAAATATTTTTGTACTGAAACTGACCACGAGTAACAAACCACAGAAAGCAAAACTGGGAGTGAGAGGAGACTACTGTATACCCTATGATTTCAATTACTTTAATGATGACTATAGAAAAATTCCAAAAGGAAGTATCTCAAAGTAGTAACACTGGTTGGTGGAATTTGTTTTTCCCCTCCCTGTCTACTTTTTTGTATTTTCCATATTTTCTACAATATTCAAATTTCTTTTACAGTTAGATGGGGAAAATGAGCTTAAATAGACAGACTAAGAAATACATTTCTAACTAATATTTGAAAGTGTGTAATTAGTCTTTAATTCTGTTATGTCATTTTTGGTTGATATTTTGAAAATATCAAGATGGAAAGGTCACTTACAATGAGTGATACGGACATGTGTAAAGTAAAAGTCAACGTTTAAAGTAAACATCTTCTTGTGTTTTGTCTCTCACAGGTCAAGTGTTGATAGAGGAGGCTCAGTGCATGGTTCCTGTGCTTCCCAGTCATAGGAAACCAGGGTCAAAACCAGCCACTGTTGGCTCCTTCAGCTCACACGTGACAGGGTTTCCACGAAAACGCAAAGGAAGTGATTCAGACCCATCCCAGTAAGTGAATTTGTTCCACTGACCCCATGAGATCCTTGATTCTAGAAAGAAGAGAAAAAGATTACTTTAAAAATTATTATTTCTAAGTATGTGGTAACATTTGGGGAGGGGCGATTATTTATCCACCCAGCTGCTACCTCTGCCATTGACTAACCTGGAATGGTGCCTTTCAACTCTAAAGATTATTAGGTATCCAGGAGGGCCAACCAGGATCTGAAAGAGATGTAGGAACATTAGGTTAGTTTGCTTCATGTTTATGGGCACGGCAGGATCGAAATATTTCCTTCTCAAAATATTTAAGCATGAGGAGAACATCTTCCATGTCTGGCTTAAAATAATAATTTACTTTAATTTTCCCCTTACTCACCATGTGTATCGTAATCAACCCTTGGTTATCTGAGGTCAGTTTAATCATGTACAATTCTTGTTTTCCATAGTTATTAAGCCAAGTAGATGCTAAGGTCAATGTTAAGAATACTTACTATCTCCCTGTTTATTTTTGTTGCCTTCTACTTGTAACCCCAGGTATTCTTAATGCCTTCCCCAAAGCTAGGGTTTATGTGGTGAAGACATTAGGGCAAGATAACAACAGCAGTGTAGAACAACTCATTTCCAACAGCAGTGTAAATGTGGAAGCTGACGATAGTTCTCGATCCTGAATGAAGGGAGAAGTTCGAAGTAGGGGGTCGAAATGAAGTATTCTAGCTCTTTCTAACTCCGTTCTTCCCAATACATTTTATAATTTAGCTTCAATTCCCAAGACAGCAGAATCCTGTGTTGCTCAAATGTAAACACCGAAGCCCTTCCCAAGTCCTGTGTAAATGATTGGAAGATTTTCTACTGTTTTGGGTCGTCTGTATTCTCTTAGTCTCTTGCATTAACATGGATGCTCATGAAAACTGCAGTCGATCGAGTGATAGTCTATCTAGAGCTGCTTGGTGATTTCCATTCTAAATTAATCTCCACTTACCTTGAGCTAGACGTGACTGTTAGTCTATTTTATTTTCTTCCTCAGTCTTCAGAATCATAAGCACCACTCTTCTCTCTTAGTGCCTAAATGAGATTGTGGCGATGGAAGTGCGAACAGTGAATATAGAGTTGGCACATTTTTATGCCATGTACAGGACATAGGTGAGACTTTGCAGCGGTTTGGGGGTCAAATGGGAAAATGGAGTCAGTGCTAAGGGAGCATGCAAGGTACTGACAGATTATGATTTTTTGGCTATAAGCATGCTAAAGATTACTTAGGTAACTGCCCACATTTTAGAAAATGATGAAGCTAGGACTTAGAAATGTCAAGCGGCTTGCTCAGCATCACGCAACTCTCTAGAATGCCTGATTCTTAGTGTGGTATTTTCTTCACTGCGCTCAGCTTCCTGTCTCTCTGAAGCTGCACAGGGGAGGTACTTTGCTGTGCTTGAGGGCAACCATGCTGTCCATTTCTCAGACCATCTGGGCAGGGGGTGACCCAAGGCCTCCTTCCTTCCAGGTCAGGAGTCATGACAGAAAAAGTGGTGGAAAAGCTTTCTCAGAATCCCTTTACCTATCTTCTTTCAACAAGGATAGAAATATCAGCATCCAGTGGGAGCAGGTAAGTTCTGGATCATCTTTGACATATCCCCTCCCCTGTGTGAAGAGAGAATTGAGTGGCAGTGGTAAGAAGGTTTACATACGTCCCACTAATCCGTACCATAGCTTCCACAGTTTCTCCAGTCTGCCTCAGTTCTTCTTTTATCCCACCCATTTCTATTCCCTTTAATGAAATTATGAATATCAAAGCATTTTAGGGGTTTTACAAAGTGCCGATTGCATACTATCCTTCCCAGAGACTCAGGGCATGAAAGCCAGTCTACACACAAGAGGCTGATTTCTCTCATGTAGCCTCAGCGTATTGGAAGGAGAGAGACAGATAAGACACAAGAAACTTGTACAAGTGGGAAAGATACAAATAATTCCTCTACATCATGATGATTCCTATAATAAAGACCCTGGGTACTATGGCAACAAAGAAAGTTGGGCTTTCAGATAAGATTGGAATCAAAAGTGAAGCTTCCTAGAGAAGCTGACTCAAGCAAAGCTTTAGATGAATAAAAATGAGTCTACAGAGCAGGGATGGAGAAGGTATTCCAGACAGAAGGAACAACTGTGCAGAAGTACAGGCATGCGGTTGTATACTGCCATCCGATGAGTGGTTGTCACAGTAGAGCAGAGGGTGCACTTAGACGTGGGTGAGCTATGAGATTTTTTAACATGAACTTGATTGTGAAGGTCTGCTGAACTAAAGATTCTGAAAGTGATTTTGGATGTGGTAGAAAAACTGAGGTATTCTAAGCTTGAGAGGAACTTGGTCAGATTTATATTTTTTAAAGAATTTCTTGCCTCTGCATGATTTTCATGTTTTTATGATGGTAAATATATGTATAACGTGATACTTGCTAGTTGAACCATTTTAAGTGTACAACTCATTGGCATCAATTATATTCACAGCGTGTGGACCATCACCAGTGTCTTTTTCTAAAACTTTTTCATCACTCCAGAGACTCTTCACCCATTAAACAGTAGCTCCCCATTTTCCTCTCATCCCAGTCCCTTGCTAACCTCTCGTCTATTTTCTGGCTCTATGAATTTTCTTAGTCTATATGTTTCCCATAAATGGAATAATACAATACTTATTCTTGTGTATCTGGTTTATTTCACTTAGTAAAATGTCTTCAAGTTTCATCTATATTGTAGTATTTATCAGAAACATATTGCTTTTGGTGGCTGAATAATATTCCACTGTGTGTAGATACCATATTTTGTTTATCCATCCTTTGTTGATAGACACAGGTTATTTCCACTTCTTGGCTATTGTGAATAATGCTACTATGAACATTGGTATACAAACTACCAGGTGTGAAATTGCTGGGTTATATGATCATTCTATTTGTTTTTTGTAATTCTGTTTAGTTTTTGAGGAACCACCAAATTGTTTTAGTGGCTGCACCATTTCACATTATACAGGGATTCCAGTTTCTCCTTGTCTTTGCTGATACTTATTATTTTCAATTTTTAAATTGTAGCCATTCTAGTAGGTGTGAGTGGTAAAGATCTATATTTTCCAAAACTCACCCAGGAAACAGCATAGAGGATGGACTGGAGGAGGAAATCCCAGCAGGCAGAGATAACAGCTGAGAGACATTTGCTGGGAATTAGGTTTTTTGAGCACTGGTTGAAAAGAGTGGCCCTGGACAGGAAAGGCAGGGAGATGCAGGGACATAGGACACACTTAGAAGATAGGATCTCTAAGACTTCGTGATTGTTCACTGAGGAGAGAGAGGATAGAAAAGGTTCCCAAGTTTTTGCACTTGGGCTTCTTGATAGAGGGTGGCATTCTTACTAGCTGCTATTGAGAGGAAGATGAGTTCAGTTCTGGACACAACAAGAATGCGATATTTATGGACCCTTCCAGCAGGAAGTTGAACATGAGGATCCGGAACTGAGTTGAGGCCTGCCCTGGAGTTAGAGATTCAGACATCATCCATGCACAGGAAGTACCTGAACTGATGGGCATGGGTGATGTCACTGGGAGAATTATAAGTAGTGGGAAGACTGGGGACTGAGTTCTACTGGGGGGGTACAGTGACCTAAGGAGAGTCAAGAGCAGAGGAAGCCTGCCCAGAATGTGTGAAATGGGGTGCTGTCTCAGAAACCAAGGGAAGCCAGTTTCAAAAAGAGGAACACATGAAAAGTGGCGAACTTGGAGAATATTTTGAGACTGCATCTGCTCCTACCTTCATTTGTCTTTGGTTGGTTTAGGAAGAGTGCCTGCATTTCATTCAAAATGTAGTCGTTTTCAAGGAGACCTTGCACTGAGTTTTGAAATTATGTTACTGTAGTTAAAATGCACCCAAATAATGTGGACATTATTCATATCAGAATGCTTATTAAAATCCATTTGTAAAAATGTTAGGACTATAGATCAAATGCCAGCATGGAGAAAATATACAAATAACAAATTTATTAATTATCTAGGTTTATGCTACAAACAGAAAAATGAATTGTTCAAATAACAAGATCATGCCTTTATTCTATTATAATAGGGACCATTAAATAAAGGGTATTTGGATTTCTTAAGTACAGTATATTTGGATTTCACTAAAGAGGCAAGTTCGCTCTGTGAGTTCATTTGCTAAAATACCAATACTTGGCTGGGCACGGTGGCTCAAGGCTATAATCCCAGCACTTTGGGAGGCTGAGGCGAGAGGATTTCCTGAACCCAGGAGCTTGGGACCAGCCTGGGCAACTTAGTGAGACCTCGTATCTATAGTAAATCAAAAAGTTAGCTGGGCGTGGTAGCGTGCGCCTGTCGTTCTGGGTACTTGGAAGGCTGAGGCAGAAGGATTGCCTGAGGCCAGCAGATTGATTCTGGGATGACTATGAGTGTACCACTACTCTCCAGCCTGGGTGACAGAGTGAGACTCCAACTCTAAAATAAAATAAAATTTAATTTAAATTAAAAAAAATAATCAAAGCATAAGCATGATTTTAAAAAGTCAAAGTTTACCTTTAAAATTGAAGTAACATGTACATGTACAATCAGCCCTCCTTATCTGTGGGTTTTGCATCTGTGGATTCAAACCAACCACAGGATTAAAAATATTCAGAATAAAAAGTGGGATCTGTACTAAACACGTCCAAACTTTTTTTTGGACATTATTTTTTAGACAATAAAGTATAACAAAGATTTACATAGCATTTACCTTGTATTAGGTATTTTAAGTAATCTAGAGATGATTTAAAGTATACAGGAACATGTGTGTAGGTTGTATGCAAATACTATACCATTTTATATAAGAGACTTTGAATATCCATGGATTTTGGTATCCATGGGAGGTTCTGGAACCAATCCCCAGTAGATACAAAAGGACAACTGAAAGTAATTCTGGATCATTAGGAAGAAAATCATTCATCTGTATAATTATTTTCCATCTTATTCAAAGAGAAAAGAAGCTGACTTGATCTGATATTCTCTTTTGCTTCAGAAAAGCTGTTTAATTTTACATTTAAAATTAAATACACAGTAGACTGACAATGATGAGAGAAATAGCAAGGTGTAGTAGAAGGTACAGCAGCCTGTGTAGAATAAGCTTCACTTGGCTTCCTATTAGTTATATGACCTTGAACAGTCATTAACCTTGGCCTCAATTCCTTCATCTGTAAAATGGGGATAGTAACAATTGCATCACTATATTGTGAGAATAAATAACATATTTTGATAAAGTACTTTAAATGTGAAGCTATTCTTTCTTTAGACAGTGGGGAGGAAAAAGCACTGCTTAAGTTTTATCTTAGTTGTTCTTTTTATTTGGAATATTTATAAACATCTCTTCATAAATTTGACTAAGCTTTCTATAAATAGCTTTATCTTTTCTAAGTAGAAAAACTTTATTAAAAACATGAATAAAATAGTTCAAAAGTAGGACAAACGTTTTTCAAAGCCTGGAAAACGTTCACTGTTAAATCTTTCAAGAAGGAAATTTGGTAAGGTGAATCAGAAGCCTTAAAATAGTTATCCATAAACTAGAAATTTATCCTAGAGTATAATCAAAGATGCATATGCCACAATGTTATTAGCCATATTATTTATAATATTGAAACTATTATGATATTAAAATTTCCAACATTAGCAAATGATCAAATAAATTATGGGATAGCTAATCAGTGGGCTACTATTTAGTCATTTTAAATCATGTTCTCTGAGAATATTTGAAGCTGTGGGAAAATACTTATGTTACAGTGTTAAGTGAATAAGACAAGGCATCAAAAGTTTTGTACTGTGATCTCGATTTTGTTTATAATATATGTAGAACACAGAGAAGTATCCACTTGATTACACTACACACACACAGGCATGCACACACACACCCCATAGTTAAGTTAGTCATTGCATATATCTACATGTGGAGGAAAGAGATGGGAAGGAGACACATTAAAATATTAGCCATGTTTATTTCCAGATAAGATTATGGGTCCTTTTCTCTGAATTTTTTTAATGCCCCCCAAAATGACACATTTGGAAATTTATTTCTAAAAAAGTACATATTAATTAGAACTATTCAACCTGCATAATTTTTTTAATGTTGAAAGCCTTCTGTCCTCAGCAGTGTATTTCATTTCAGTAGTGGTCTAATGAGTACATGTCTGATGCCAGGGAATATACTAACATGAAAATCCATCCAGATGGATTTTTAGGCAAAATACATTTTTTAACTAAAGATATGAGAATCTTAATCCATTTTCAGACTGTTTTAATACTGTTATTATAAAGTTTTTGGTTAAGCCATCAATGCTTTTAAAATCATTGTTTTATTTAATGTTTAATGCTATGAAAATGTTATTCTTTCTTAAGATTAGCATGAGATCATTTCTAAATAGAGCAACAGTTATTGTTCGCTGTCAGTTACCATAGGTTCTGTACCTATGGTAGTGGGAACAGTATTACCTGTCTGTAGGAAAACTGTTCATGTAGACAGTATTAATCATTTCAGGTCATTGGATGCTCAAGGTAGTAGCATTTATAGCTAAAAATTTAATAGGAATTAGAATGATTGGACTTAATCTCATATTTATTTCTCAAGAATCACAGAGAAGCAATTTCATGTAGTTTGATATTTTATCCTGCTTTTTTGTAGAGTGGAAGATGGTGAACAACAAGTAAAAATGAAGTCCTTCAGGTACATTGCTGTTGAGATGGCTCATGGTGAAAGAGGTTGTAAGAGTTAGAATGGACCTGTGAGGGTTAGACTCCGCTCTCTTGTTATGCTCTGAAAAGCAGTGTTATCAGGCACCTGGTACCTTACTTTTGTATCTATTTGAATAACGTTTTGGCTTTAAGGCACTTAGATTTTTTATAATGGCTGTTTATTTAAGACAACTATTCTTTCCTTTAAGCACTTGCTGATTCATGATATAAACAAATCAGAATTACTTAGGAGCATCTGATTATCAGAAATCCATCTTTGTCAATTATTTCAACATATTCTTTCAGCAACAATAAAAAAATGCTTCTACAGCTGGCCACATGGCCAGATCTGAATTTGCTTTCTCTTCATTTATTGTTTTCTGATATGGTTCCACATAAAAACTGCCATGTTTCAAAGTAACAGTACCTGTACACAGAATTAGGAGCCAGAGCCCTGATAAATTATTAAACAGAGAACTAGCCTCTGGATAAATATGCCCTTCTTGAATTAAAAAGACTCCAGAAACCTTTTCAGGTGCAGCTTCTTCAAGTAAAGTACCTTATTCCATCACTGGTTCTTTCCCCTTCCTCTGGGTTTCCCGGCTCCCACCATCATTGCTCATTTTTCTCCACTGTGGTCTTTCTTCTGCCCTACTCTCAGCTCCTTCCAAGTTCTGGCTCTGAGAAAGTACCCTTTCTCCTGCTGGTCGTTCCTGGAGGCAGGCATCCCTGTCCATTGCTGCTGTCTGTGCTGATGGGTGATACTGATAGAAAGAAGAGGTGATCATTCTAGCAATAGTGCAACAACAACATTCTTCTTGCCATCATATTTTAATGTTAATCCAATTGCTCATGAATAGGCCAAAGTGTGAGTAGATACTTAATTTTATGTAAGTGTGCACATAATTTGAATTCCATCCAAGTCACCCAAAAGTACATTTTTTTTTTGAGTTGGAGTCTCACTCTGTCACCCAGACTGGAGTGCAGTGGCCACTCCCTGCAATCCTTCCACCTCAGCCTTCCAAGTAGCTAAAACTTCAGGCGCGTACTACCACGCCCAGCTATAAAAGTACATATTTTGTTCCAGGAGTGGCACCGCCCAGGACGAATGGCTGGGAGGGGGCTGTGTTAGCTCCCTCAGTCTTCATCAGTGCCCTTCCCCACACTGCCCCCACCCCTTTTTTATCTGGAAAAATTACATCTTCTTTCATTCAACTTAATGTCTTTGTAAAAACAGATCACGTACAGTATCCCACTTAACTACTTTCTCCTCAGATTTCCTTCCTAAACTCTTCTTATAGAGAAATTCTGGACTCACCATGATCTGAGTGTTGTGGGAGATGGAGACAATGTTTACAGCAAAGTGAGAGAAGTAAAAACGACAAAATTCTTGAAATCTGATAGACTTTTTCCTCTACATTTTGTTTTCTGTGGAAACGTCTTATCACCAAAGGCATCTTCCCATCATTTGGCAGCGTTCTTTCCCTTGTGATGCATTGAATAGTAGTGCATCTTAAAATTGACAGTGTCTTAGATTTGATGAAATGTGGCAGTGGTATAAAAAGTACTGCGGTAGCTTAGAGAGGGGAGTGGTTCATGAGGTAGTCAGAGAAAGCTTCCAAGCAGGGTAACTGAGCTGAGTTTTGAAAAAATGATAATTCCAGGAATTTAGTAGAAAAGTTCTTTCCAAGCCTATTAAAGAGCAGGGCAGGGCAAGGGGAGATGTGAGACCACATGGCTTATGTGAGGACCAGCAACTTGGGCCAGTATAACATTGGGAACTGGTGGGAAATGGCATGGAGAGATGAAACAGGATGAAGGCATGAGTCAGGTCATGGAGAACCTTGGCACATTATTAGGGAATTTAGCCATTGCTCTTAGGCTGTGGAAGTGCAGTGAGCAGTTTTATGCAATGGGATTAGATGACTTGTTTAACCAGATAATTCTAGAAGTCATAGGATAGAGTAGAAGAGGAAGACACTATAAGGAACATCGGTTTAAAAAGCTTTGAGGGGAATGCAGTGAGTCTAAATTAAGGCAGTGACTGGATGGAGAAGGAGGAGGAGACATTTAAGAACTAGAATGTAGAGGAGTTCATGATTATTTAGCTCTTCAGGGTGAAAAAAAGAAAGGGTCTAGGTCGAACCTAGTCATGTCACCAATCAAGACAAACCATATGGAAGAAAGAGTAAATCAGGAGCAGTGGGGGAAGAATTGAAAATAGAGCAAATTGCAGAGAATGCCTTCAGTTTGGAATTTCTTGAGTTTTAGATTCCTTGAGAATCATTTAAGTGTGTAATTCTAGTTCCAAAAGGTCAGGAACTTGGGTAAAGTATGAATGAGATAGGGTTATAATAGTAAGTAGCTTATAAGTTGCTGTAAAGCCTTATGAGAGAATGAGGTATATCTTAGGGCAACTGAGGGAATGTTGGTGTACACCATTGTTTAAGGATCAAGGAAGAGCTGGTCAAGGAACTGAGGAGACTTGATCCAAGCAGGGAGACCAGAGGAGGAGCAGGATAGGTCATGGAGACAAGAGAGGATAAGGGATGGCAGCACTGTCAAGTTCAAGGCAGGGGCCAGCAAGGGATTGCCTGAGAGAAGGATGATAGTTGCTAGGAGAGTTTTAGTGGACCGCGGTGGTGGAAGGTTGGTTTGAAGATGGAGAGGTGCCTAGGAAATGAAAGACTGAGTGGAGACTGCACGCTTACAGGGAGCTTGCTGAGAAGGGAAGATGGTAGGTTTTACTTGAGAGGGAAGAAACTTGAGTAACATTTATAGACTCATGATAAGTAGTGTGAGAAGAATGAGATTAAGATGCTGACAGCTGTCTATGCAGATACTGGAGAGGAGTTAGCTGTGAACAGAAGGGTACCCATCTTTTCCTCTAAGACTGGAGGGAGTTGGGATAACCACCCTGCCTTTCAGACAGATGTCTTGGTTCTTGAAGATTTCTGGAAATAAGGTAGAGAGGGACTGACCAAGGGTAGTGGCTTTTGTGAATGTGATTCCTGGTCCCAGCAGCTCTTTCCTCTTCCCTCGGTGGCAACTGCAGGGCCTAACTGGGAGGAAGAACAGTGTGTGCTTGCTAGGCTCAGCACCTGCTCCCATGTGTGTATTCAGGGTGACTGGGGGTCTGCTGGATGTTCAATATAAAGGAGGTTCTTTTTTCCTCTTAGAGAAGCTCATAGCCAAACTGAAAAGCGAAGGAGAGATAAAATGAATAACCTGATTGAAGAACTGTCTGCAATGATCCCTCAGTGCAATCCCATGGCACGTAAACTGGACAAACTTACAGTTTTAAGAATGGCTGTTCAGCACTTGAAATCTTTAAAAGGTGAGTTTGAAGATGGCATCCACACTTAGGTTTGTGTAGGATTCTCTGTCATCGAGGTCACTGATTGGTTTTGTTATTGGCTGTTGAGTTTCTATCCAAATGTGTCTTTCAACTTTATAGGCATTAATTGATGCTTGTCCATAGGCTGTATGTGAAGACAATACTGAATTGGATGTCAGAAAACTTGGCTCTAATACAAGCTTTATCTCAAGCTTCCTATGTGATCTTGAAAAGTCTTTACATTTTTATTTCATGTATAATATGAAGAGAATATTACCTGCCCTTCATACGTCTCAATATTTTAGAAGTCCTAAAGTGAGTATTGATTATTATCATTTTAAGTTATTGGGAGATTTCTATCCTTCAAAAAGAAAATCTCCTTAAATTCTGCGATTTCTCTTAACACTTCATTCAGATTTATTAGTAGTACCTTAAAATGCATGCTGCCTCACTCTTCTAAGGTATTTTCACATCTGCGTGACACTGGGTGAAGGAAGTCTCAGCCATTGCCTCCTGGCATGTGTGTGTGATCATTTCTGACTTTAGTAGAACTTGAGCTTGAATTTTAAATTAAAGTGTAATAAATGTGTATATGTATAGTTGAAATCACATCTGGCCTGGGAATAGCTGCAGTCCACCTTGGGGGGCAGGGTGATGGAAGTGGATTGATTTCCTAATTTTATGATTTAGGTTTATATTGAGAAGACAAGGCCTGGCAGCATAACATGCCAAGGACTCCAGAGGAAACTCCAGAAGTTCAGATTTGTAAGGATCTAAAAGGTTATAGAGAAATTTGGCTCAAAAGGCATAAAAAGGGAAAGAGCAAAGGGTGACCAGGGTCTTTGTTTAGATCTCTGGACACTGCCTGAAACAGGAACATCTCTCAGCGGAAAGGAAATTGTAAAGCGCGATGGAGGGACTTTGTCGAGTCAGGGGAAGGCAGCCTGGAGGAGAGCAGCACTCACCGGGATTCCTGTGCATCCTCTGAGAGCATGGGGGGAGGTGGGAGGTCTTCTACTCATGACAGTTATTGTGAAGTCAGCTTCTCTTTTACCCACAACAGCGGCTTGCATAAATTGCACGCAATATGTTCCTTCAATCCTTCAGCAATGAATTTTGCAGGCTCAGCTGAAGTCATTCGATTGCAAGCCTAAAATTACCCAAGTGTTTTCACATCAGCAATGTCCCGAGGGAGCAGGAGCTAAGGGAAAAGCCATGAATCAGTCAACTGGTTTAGCAGACATGAACTGAGCACCAACCGCATTCCTGTCCTGGACTGGGGATGTAAACATGAGTGAGGTGAGGTCTCTGGCCTCCTCTGGAGGTTCACGGTCTGACTAGGGAGACAGGCCTGTGAAGAGCTCACTGGGGCCAAGTGTGGCAAATGCTGCAGTAGAGGTGTGAGTGAGCTGAGAGAATGTGGGAGCCCAGCAGGACACAGGCACTGTCTTATTCTGAGGGGATTGCGTGGAACAGGATATTGATCCCACCATCAGTCAAGTGCGCATCCACATAGCCAGGCCAGATCCTTCAGTCAGTGCATAATGCAGTTGGATCTGTATTCCAGGGCACGTGTCACAGTGTACCCAAAAGCTTAGAAGCTAGATCATCAGAGAGCTACATGTGAACCATGTTATCTTGGTCCGTAGTACAATAAGATTAAAGGCAGAAGGATAGTGGAGTGATTTTTTTCATACACCCTACAGCAGTGGTTTTCAGACTGTTTGAGTGAAGGACATGTGCTTCCCTCTCCACCCCCACCAATCATTGTAAAATACAATTAATTACTGGAAAAATGATCACAGGCTTGACTATCTCAACAGTGTTACATTTGCTATAAAAGCCTCTCAGTGCTTCTTGGTAAGTGCTATACACTCATCCCGCCAGTCTGCTGACAACATTTGGTCTGCCGGCTGTATTTGGAGCAGCTGTGGGAGTTTCTGGAGAACTTGCAGGCATTCTGTGTCTGTGGTCTGAATACCAGGGGCCATGGGTGCAGTGGCTCATGTGTGTGGGTCCTAGAGACAAAGCTCGTGGTTCAAATCCTGGCTCCCTGCCTTCATAGCTGTGTGGCTTACTCAAGTTTATCTTTTTTTTTTTTTGAGTTGTAGTCTCACTCTGTTGCATGGCTGGAGTGCAGTGGCATACTCACAGCCACCCCAGCGTCGACATGCTGAGCTCCAGCAATCCTTCCGCCTCAGCCCTCTGGGTAACTGGAACTAGAGGTGTGTGCTATCACGCCCAGCAAATTTTTAATTTTATTGGAGAGACGAGGTCTTGCCAAGTTGCTCAGGTTGGTCTCAAAACCCGTGGGCTCAGGCAATTCACTCGCCTCGGCCTCCCAAAGTGCTGAGATTACAGGCTGAGCCACTGAGCTTGAGCCCGGCCTACTCAAGTTATTAACATGTTAATCCTCGACTTCCACATCTGTAAGACAGGGATAATGCATTTGCCTCTTGGAGTTGTTGTTAAGAGTAGAGGATAATTCATAGAAAGTGCTAGCACAGTGTTCACTAATGATGGGGGTAAGACAGTAGTAGTAGTTGTTGTTACTGTCATTTTTTTTAACCCAAGAATATTGTGAGAAAGGTAAGTGATTTGTGTTACCTTGTTTGTTTTTGCCATTGAAGGCAGAGAGCCAAAGGTGGTACCCCACACAGCAGGGTCACAGAATACCAAAGCATGCACTCACAGGCCAACTCTCCTGGCCTTGGGCATTGGCGCTGTTCTTGCTACCCTCGTCTTGTCTTTAGCACATCCTCATTCACCTACCCAGTTAGAGCTCGCCCATGCTGGTTGACTTCCACCAACGGGGATTCCCCAGCTTCCTTCTACTGTGTGTGCTCCACCAACCTGCTGCAGGCCAGACCTGGAAATGTCCTTACCTTGCTCAAAATCGATTTATTGCTGCACCCTGGCCTAGCACTCAGTCTGCACCTTTCCTCCCTTCCTCAACTCCCTCCTACTATAGTCTTTCCAGGCTGCTGGGTAGTAGTAATACTATCCAGAAATCATTTGGGAGAGTTATTTGAGGCCTAGAATGAAGATAAATTCTAACAGAGGACATTTTCTTTTGGCATGCTACAAGTTGAGAAAACTTTATCAAATCATAGCGTGAAGTGGTTTTGGTTTTCTGGTCTCCCCTCTCCCACCTCACCTTGCCAGTACCACTTAGTTAATTGGTTATGTTGGGGCTGCCAATCCACCCAAGGGTCAAGTTGTTAAAATGTCTCAGGGTTACCCTGACTTTCTCTTGCAGTCCCCAGGGAGAGGGGATAGGGTTAGGGAGGATAAGAAATATAAGAGGGAAAATTGATTTACTTCTGGATCACCCTTGCCCTGGGGCTATATCAACCTTGGCTTTGTGGACAGTCCTCTACGCCCCCTTGTGGCCATGAGGGCCTTGCATGTCTAGGTTGGTGGATGCTTTCAGGAGAAATGTCGTTTTCGATCTTTAAGTAGCCCTCTCAGGTCAAATCTTTACCTTGGTTTTGGCTTGATAATTCCTCATCATTTTACCATCTCTTTAGTGGCTTTAGAGACTTTCATATAATACCTCTATGCTAAGGGTCTATGTGTTTTATATATCAGCAGAACAGATGTCTCTGTATTTTCATTAAAGGGGTTTTCTTACTGGAAAATCCCATGACTCCATAAAATTTATTTAGAATTACAGAATATACCCAGTCAGATAATTCATGTGATCAGTTTTAATTTTATTTTGATAATTAAGAAATTATCAAAATAACAAGTCTCCCCTTATCCATGGGGAATACATTCCAAGACCCCCCCCCAGTGGATACCTGAAAGCTTGAATGGCACTGAACCTTATGTATACTGTTTTCTTCCTATACATGCATACCTGTGATAAGTTTAACATATGAATTAGGCACAGTAAGAGATTACCAACAATAACTAATAATAAAATAGAATAATCATAACATACTGGCATAAAAGTTATGTGAACATTGTGTCTCTCTGTCTCTCTCAAAATGTCTCATTATACCATACTCACCTATAGTCAGACCGTGATTGATCCCAGGGGACTACTGCATATTGATTCTTGAGTATAGTTGCATGTACATTTATTATAATGCTTTCATTTTGTTATATTTTTTCTTTCCTTTTTTTTTTGAGTTGGACTCTGTCACCCAGGCTGGAGTACAGTGACATGATCACAGCTACTGTAGCCACAACCTGCTGGGCTCAGGCAATCTTTCTGCATTATCCTTCCAACTAGCTGGAACTACAGGCATGTACCACCATGTCTGGTTAATATTTTGATTTATTATAGAGAAGAGGTTTCACTAAGTTGTCCACACTGGTCTTGAACCCCTGGACTCAGGCAATTCTCTTTTCTCTGTCTCTCAAAGTGATAGGATTACAGGCGTGAGCCACCACACCTGGCTGCTTTCTTTTTATATATAGCTCTTACTCTGTACCTTGGTGTATAAAGGAGTAAGTAGTTACAAGAGTTCACAATTTAAAAGCACATTTTAATCTAGTAATAATGAAGAAAGAAAATGATTACAGATGTGTTAGAATGTGCTAAAATACCAACACCGTCATCACCATTGTCAACAATACCTGCAACTGCGTGGCTGACGTTCATTGAGCACTTCCATTGCCCTCTCTATTTTTGTTAACTTTTGACTTGTTTCTTTTTAGGCATGACAAATTCTTATGTAGGAGATAATTATAGACCTTCATTCATTCAGGAAAATGAGCTCAGACACTTAATCCTTAAGGTAAGTAAAAATATATTTGTCTAAGTTACATATATTTGAATGGGAGGCAGATTTTCTTTAATTTGCTTCCTGGTATAAATATACAGGACTCTTATTTTGCAGCATATTTCCTTTAACATAGAAATTTAAAATATAGAAGTAGTCATGTCTGGTTGGTGTAGACTAATGAAAGTAGAGACAGGACATGCACTTTCCCAAATATGGAGCAAAGCTTGTCTTCAGTGCCAAGTTCTTTATCCTCCCTCATGCAGCTCTCCCTGCATGGTTTCTGTTCCCCATCACCAATACCTCCATCAGAGACTTCCACCTGGGTTCCTACCAGGAACCTGTTCTCTGTAGAAGCCAGTCTCTGCTTACTTAATGAGTTGTTAGTCAGTTCTTTGACATTTCTGTCCTCATCATGTCATATGCATGGCTTTTTAGATCTGCCGGTCTAGCAGTTTATTTGAGATGGAAACGGTCACGTAATTGGCTTATTCAGCCCCTGAGGTGATAAATGTCTGGGTTGTGTGCTGTGTGACTACTTGTCTATAAGCTATCGTCTGATTAAATAGATTCTCTGTCTATGCATTTGTCCATTTTTCTTTTTATTATTTTTCTTTTTATTATTTTATTTGTAGAAACCAATAAAATAGGTCTTGCTCTGTCGCCCATGCTGGAGTGCAGTGGCATGATCATAGCTCACTGCAGCCTTGAACTCCTAGGCTCAAGTACTCCTCCTACCTGAGCCTCCTGAGCAGCTGGGATCATAGGTGTGCGCCATTGCAGCTGGCTAATTTTTTTAGAAAATTGTGTAGAGACAGGGTCTCACTATGTTGTCTAGGCTGTTCTCTAACTTCTGGCCTCGAGCAGTTCTCCCACCTTGACCTCCTAGCTCTGGGATTACAGGCTTGAGTTACCATGCCTGGCCTCTTTTAACTGTATATCGAAAAGCACTCTTATATTTGAACCGCTGAATTTAAATGTAGTATTTCTAGAAGGAATATAAAAGAATTCCTGCAGATAAAAAAGATTTTTAAAGATTGCAAAAATGTAAGGTATACTTCCGAAGCTTTCGCGCCCATTTTTAAGTGTTTTCTTCATCATCATAACTTCATATAACCCTGGTCCTGCCCCTACTGCACATGTCTGCCTGACTCATCTTATGTTTGTTTCCAACTAATAAAAGCTAGTTTAAGGAAATGTAAGTGGGCCTGCCAGACTCCTTCTGTGTGTCCATACATACCTATTTCCATGTAGGTTGCTTCTCAGGGGACTTGTTGGGCAGGCCTTATGGAGTAGCTGATATATTAGAATTTTTAAAACTCTATTTAGAATGAGAGTGATACCTATTCATTTTTGAAAAAGCGTGTAAAGGTGTACAGCAGGATGTCTTCAGTGCTTCCTTGTCCTCAGCCTGTGCAGTCCTTCCACTCACCACACTTACAGGCAATCATCATTATTGATGTGTTTTGATATCTTGACAGAGTTTCCAAATGCAGTATAGTAGAATTTGGTAATTTTAATTTCAGTATCAGGCAATATCTTAACTAAATATTTCATGGCTGAACATTCCATGTCAAAAACATTAATTAGTTTAGACTGGGATTCAATATGATGTTCCTTATACATCTTTTCACTTCTTAAGCAGATTTCTGAAAACTAATTTTACTGGCTCTATGACCACTCTGTTACTTTTACTGCCACAACAGTTTCCTCAAAATCTGAACATGTGTGTGTGTGAGAGAGAAGATATTTTAAAATATTCACTTTTATTTTTTTTAAATCCTAGACTGCAGAAGGCTTCCTATTTGTGGTTGGATGTGAAAGAGGAAAAATTCTCTTCGTTTCTAAGTCAGTCTCCAAAATACTTAATTATGATCAGGTATCCAAAACTGAGGATGTTTTCTACACAGTGTTTAATTTTTCGAATAAACATATTTTGAAGCTCTTTTTCCAAACCCTTTCTTCTCATTGGGATGTGGGATTAGGTTCTGCTAAGTTAGGACTCTGAGGGCAATGGAAAGATGTATAGAAAGAGGACGGATTTTTATTACTGATATTAGTGTTCACTTCCTAACCTTCAGCAAGTTACTTAATGTTACTGAGCCTTAGCTCCTATGTAAAAAGTAGAAATAGTGATTGTACTTGACTCTCAATGTGTAAATATTAATTAAGGTGTCATATTTGAGAACGTCTGGAAAATGTTAGTCCCTTCTCTGTTCATTCCAAGAGACAGGATTATTGTTTTTGTTTGTTTTTTACTTCATTTTTTCTTTTTTTCTGAGTCAGAGTCTCACTCCGTTGCCCAGGCTGGAGTGCAGTGGCCCATTCGTAGTCACTGCAACCTCAACTTGCTGGGCTCAAGCGATTCTTCTGTCTCAGCCTTCCAAATAGCTGGAACAACAGGCGTGTGCCACCATGTCTGGCTACTTTTTTGATTTATTATAGAGACAAGGTCTTGCCATGTTGCTCAGACTGGTCTCGAACCCCTGGGCTCAGACAGTCCTCCTGCCTCTGCTTCCCAAAGTGCTAGAATTACAGGCATGAGCCACCACACCGGGTAGCATTATTGTTTATTATTAAGTTATATGCATTGCATAACAGTTTTTGATCTAGTCTTTGGCAACGTATTCTGAAATACATCTTTTATTTAACTTGCTTGGTAATTACTTTACTTCCTTATTACTGAATACCATTTAATTTAAACCAGCATTGAAACGAATCCAATAGAGTGAATAAACCAGCAGTAGAAATCAGATAGACCACAGCTTTGATCTTGAATAACTCCCATTAGTTCCAGCCTCTTTTCAAGTTTAGGGGAATAAGGTATTCATAAATAATGAGCTAAGTAACAGAAAAGAGGTATTTTGCACCTGTATACAGAAGGATTGAGAATTAGTGAATCATGCAGCTGGCTATACCTGGGGACACAAGACCTGATGATTTCATCTTCTAATTGAAGATGAAGAACACCCTCCACTGCTGAATACACACACAAAGGTAACTGACAATTCAGGGTAGCACGTAAGTTTCAAACTAGTGGCATAGGATCCAGTCCCATTGGGCAGTGACTTGGCATTTCAGAGGCTATTTAAGAGGCTCACTGGCCCCTCAGGAGAATGTTGGAATTCTCATGATGCAGTGTCTGGTCCTCAGCTTCTCAGATTCAGAAATCTGAACTGCTCTAAAGTAGAGAGTTCTGGATACAGACTTATATTAACCATAACACACAATATTTGGTACATAAATCAGATTACTAGTTTGTTTGTCTTTTAGTATGAGATACCTCACTGCTAAACGATCCAGGCTACTTGTATCAGCTGGCCCATCTCTTCTGTTACCTATAGGAATGTGTCCTCGGGTAATGCAGAGGGCTGATCGTTATGGGTTAAGGAACACATTGTACGTGAAGTAGAATGTCTCTGCTAGGTTCATCAGGAGGGGTCTTTAAAATGAGCAGAGAAGGGGAGGAAGACATGCCGGGTTGGGAGAGGAGTCTAGGGAGTAAAAGGCAGATGGCAGGAGTGGCCAGGGATTGGAGTTTGTAAAAAAGGGGTGATGAATTTGAGGAAACCATGTTAGCAAAGGCATAGACCCAGTCATGCTCTGCATATTGGTAGAGTTGAGATGGGAAGTAAGAGGTATTCTGGGTTGGATTTTGTTTGTTGATAGTATGGTAATTTTTTTTTAACAATATAGTCAGTGTCTTTGAGTCATACCATAAAATCACAGATATTCTGTGACTTCCATATTATACCATAATGTAATCTCTTTCCATTTACCAAGTATAAGAAAGTAAATCAGAACAATTTATATGTGAATTTTGGGGATGTTAACAAGAATAACATGATTTAACAGAATATTAGCAATTTGTGTTTATGTATAGTTTGTGTATATCCAGGAATGATTCTGAATATATGTATCACCCTGCTTCTAACACTAAGTTAATATCATGCAGTATAATGGATGTATCTTTGAGCTTGAGAAAAATCAACCTTTAACAACAACAAAAAAAGGATATTTATCATATGTCTGTATCAGGAAATGTAGAAAATTATGGTATTGATTTGAAGTGAATGTCTGCCTTGTGAATAGGCTAGTTTGACTGGACAAAGCTTATTTGACTTCTTACATCCAAAAGATGTTGCCAAAGTAAAGGAACAGCTGTCTTCTTCAGATATTTCACCAAGAGAAAAGCTCATAGATGCCAAAAGTAAGTGCTCAATTCAGCATGCTTATCATTTTATGTAAATATAATTATTACAAGTACAGTAAACATGTTTTTAAAACAGCTAGCTAATGAAAGTTTTATCAAGAGGAGAATCATTTAGTAAACTTTACAGTCGTCAGCCTCAGAGTTTAAAAAAGAAAAGTTATATAGAGAAATTCTATATTTATACAGACATGTAAAAACAAATATATTCCTATGAAGATAATTTATCTGGGGAAAATATGATTGCCTCATATTTGCTGTTTTTCACATGCAAATAAAATCTTTAAAAGAAAGTATCATTTTGGATTTAAAAAATTGCAAAAGTTTTCATTACCTAGCTATATGCTGGGAGATAATTACTCTTTTTCTTATGTGGGTTAGGTCTTCCCAGTATGAAAGACTTTGTATAACTGTGCTTGGGAAGTATAAGTATTCTTTATCTTCCTTGAAAATACTTATTTCCTCTAAAATGGTTAGTGCCCAATAATTATTTTTAATATAAAAATAGTGATCTATGTTGTTGACTGTTGTCACCATTGACTGTTTTCTCAGTTTTTCTTTTAGTTTTTATTTCATTTCATTTAAATTAACTTTATTATCTACCCTATGGGGGGAGACAAAGATAAATGCAAGTATTTATAAGTTGTTAAAATGTGATTGCTCAACAAATACGTTTTTTGGGATGTTTCACTTCAGAGCTTACTATACAGTTATATCATTGCTTTAAATGACTGTTTCTTTTTTTCAATAATCAGTGATCAGAAAATGTTAGGAGATAAATTTCAAAATTATTTGACAGTATTCTTTTCTATCTATTCTCTTGGCCCATTCTGCTATAAAAGCTGGTTTGCAAGTTCACAGTCATTTCCACACTGGAAGGACACGTGTGTATTCTGGCTCAAGACGATCTTTTTTCTGTCGGATAAGGAGTTGTAAAATTGCTGTCAAAGAAGAGCATGAATGTTTACCCAATTCAAAGAAAAAAGGTATCTATCATTTTGAAATGTCAAGTGGTTTATAGCATGGATATAAAATTAATGTCCTAAAATTTTTTCTGTACAGAAAAAATGTATGGTCAAGGCAGATAATAGAGAACAAAAGCACCTGAGAAATTGAGATTGTTTTTAACCCAAATTATTCAGATTGAGCCATCGTATCTTTCAAATGTATAAGATAATTATGTGGTTTTTTGTTGCCCAAGATTTTAATGGTGCTGTTTGAAATTGCAGTTTAGGAATTATCAAATGGGAAAAAATGACTAGAGATGGAAATAAAACTTGTGCTATGAAACTCCATAATTGCTTTTTTTTTTGAGTTGGAGTCTCACTCTGTCACCCAGACTGGAGTGCAGTGGCCGCTCCCAGCCACCGCAGCCTCGCCTGTTGGGCTCCGGCACATAAATGCTTTTTAAAATATAAAAGTTAGATTTTAAAAAACATTCAATAGTACAGGAGTCTGGCTTGATTAATTTTAGTGAAAGTTTCTTAAGATGGTCCACATGGTTTTCATTTTTTATGACATTGTGATTCTGTGTTAAATATTTCATTTCGGTTTTCTTGTGATTCTCTCCTAGATTTGTCTTGCAGATATTTACTTTGTGAATGGACCAAACACTCATCTATTTGACTTAATTGAGAGATTTCATGGACTACAAAATGTCTCATGACTTTTTTTTGCCTAAGAGCATTTTAATCTACTAGGTGTAGGATTCCTTATGCAAATTTCAACATGAGATTTGCTTTCCTGTCCTTTAAAAGGATACTTATGTGGAGCTGCAAAATTCAGTTTATTTACAAGTTTTGGTCAGATTCTTTTTTGACAACTACCTAAAATGATCATTGCTAATACTCTGTGCCAGATCCTGTGCTAAGTGTTTTAATCCTTATGAAGACACTCTTCTTATTTCTGTTTTAGAATCAAGGAGAGGAGTCTTGGAGAGGTTCAGTGACTTGCAGAAAGTCAAATAGGCAAAACTCACACTCAAACTTGAACCTCCTACTCTGTGTCTTCCTGTAAAGAAACAAAAGCAGAAATGAATCAGCGGTCCCAAGTGTGGATCTGTTTGTAAACCCTCAGTTGCTCTCCTCTGGCCCTTGGCTCTGAGTGGTAGAGAGCTGTGTAGTCATCTCTGAGGCTTTCTGGGGATTGACGTCACAGCTGAGCTGGAGGTGAAGAGACTGCGGAACCCAGCTGATGGGGATCCAGTTTTAGCTCTACCCCCTGCTAGCTATGTGACTGTAAGCGAGTTTCTTAGTTCCTCTGAGCTTCAGTGTCCATATCTGTAAAACAGGGATGTTCACGGGGCTCTGTGGTTTAGTGGAGTGCGTAAACGTTAGGTGTGAATCCTAACTCCACCAGTGTTAACTATGTGGCTTAAGATACACTGCTAAATCCTTCTGGGCCTCATTCTCCTCAGCTATAAACTGGGAATAATAGAACCTCCCTCATCGGGTGGTTATTAGGATGATGTGAGTTAGTACATGTCACGTGCTGAGCATGGTTCCTGGCATAGTGACGCTCGATAATGTTAGCAGCTCTCATGGATATTATTGGAAATAATGCACCTGAACTCCTAGGACAGTGCAGAGCACGTGGTAAGTGCCATTGTTGCCCCGCTTCAGAGTGCCTGCTCTCTGTGCCCTCCTTCCCACTCAGTCATCTTAGTCTTAGCAACTAGCTGGGACATGGCCATATAGTGTGGAGACAGTCTCCAAGGACAGGAATATTACATCCGTGGGGATCATCCAAGGAGTCATACTCCAGATAGACCCTAGAAATAGTACCTTTCACTGCTAGGATTTACTAGAGGTGAACCCACAATGTGTTGAGCAGATCCAACCAAATCTACACAAAAGTCCATATGAGGGAAAAACGTGGCAGCCAGCGAGAACCACTGCTTTCGACCGTTTAGTATCAGAAAGCCAGTGCTGCTACCCTAATGTGGCTGAAACTTCTGTTGTGTTGGATGCAAGTTATAAATTGAGTACAAGCAAGAATAGTCAAGCTTTTTAAGTGCTTTAAAGATTACCACATTGATTTGTCTTTCCTCTTGGGAGGAAATTTTCCATGTGGACTTACTGAGTGTTTTAGTCCTATTTGTCTTGGTGCGTGGCTAGTGACCATTGTAACCCTTTACTTCTGTAAAACCTGATTTTTCCCTCTGCCCCATCATCTAACTCTTTACTGCTAAGTCTTGCAACCCTGCAGACTTGACTTTCAGCCTCCTTATTCTTTTCCCCCCACCCTATCTTAATTCTCCCGTCCAACATGAATAAATTTAATTTATCCAGCCTTCTCCATCCGAACACATATATACATTTGAACTAATTTCTATTGAACTTGAAGCTGCTTACATAGGCTGAACTTCTCTCAGAAACTGCTTGGTAAAACCTCATTTTTCTCTACCCAAACCCACCTGTCACCATTTGAACTCTTCCCAAATATCCAGGAGAATTTGAATGTACTGGGGAAATACATTTTTAAGTTATCCTTTTAGACCAGTGGTTCTCAAACTCTAGCCTGCTTTGGAATCACCTGAGAGGATTTTTAAAACACTGATTGAATAGGTCAGGTGTGGGGTCTCAGAATGTGCATATGTAACAAGTTTCCAAGTGTTGCTGATGCTGCCAATCCAGAAAATCCACTTTGAGAACTGCTGCTTTAGACTTTTAAATGTCGGATTCTTGATAGCCAGGGTGGCTCATGCCTGTAATCCCATCATCTTGGGAGGCTGAGGTGGGAGGATTGCTTGATCCCAGGAGTTCGAGACCTGGGTAACATAGTAAGACCCTGTCTCTACAAAAAAAGTTTAAAAATTAGCTGTATGTGGTGGGGCATGCCTGTAGTTTTGGCTACTCAGGAAGCTGAGGCTGGAGGATCACTTGCGCCCAGGGGTTAAGGCCTGCAACCGTGATGGCACCACTGCATTCCAGCCTGGGTGGCAGAGTGAAACTCTTTTAAAGTATCAGATCCTCTGTTACTTGCAGAATGCAAGAGGAGGAGAGAGAGGAGGGTGGAGAAAGAAGGGATGAGCAGCAGTGCTCAAGCCTGGGGCTGAAGTTGTGTTGGTGGAAATTCCTTCCCCACTTGCATTTTCTCACAACTTCTATTACAGTTGTTTTTCTTTTTTTCTTTTTTTTGGAGTCTCACTCCATCGCCCAGGCTGGAGTGCAGTGGCACACTCATGGCCATCCCAGTGTCGACCTGTTGGGCTCCAGTGATCCTTTCGCCTCAGCCTTCCAAGTAGCTGGAACTACAGGTGCACACTACCAGGCCTGTCTAATTTTTGAATTATTGTAGAGACAAGGTCTCACCAAGTTGCCCGGGCTGGTCTTGAACCTGTGGGCTCAGGCAATCTGCTTGCCTCTGCCTCCCAGAGTGCTGGGATTACAGACTGAGCCACCAACCCTGGCCCACAGTTGTATTTCTAAAAGGGTCCTGCACATTGACTCTGCTCAAGTAAAAGTAATAGAGATAAACTTGAGATCATCATCTAACATCATAGGCTCTAATTAAAGCAGAGATGTTAGCTGATCAAAAATTATTTATTGAGTGCCTCTGTGTGCCAGGCACTCTACGAAATGTGAAGGATGCACTGGTGAACAGGCAGGCGAGTCATTGCTCTAGTGTACCTTACATAGAGAGCCCTTATATGATAGAGACAGCTGATAAACACGTACTCCAGTAAATACTTTAGCTTGTGGAAAGGATGATGTGGGTGACTTCTTTGCTGAAAGGATCATAGTTTTGGGATATTGGGAAATTATTTACTCAGTTTTTTGTGCTATCCACTTTGTAACAACTACAGATAACACACTTAAGTTTAATATGCATTATTAATATTTTGTCCATCACTTTCTTAAGTCTAGACAATTTTTTAAAAAAACAAATAATAAGTCAAACCCTGATTTGTAGCTTTACTGACTCTTGGTGTAAATAGTCCTTCTGTGGCTAATTACAAGCTACCCACGTGAGGTCATTGAGCACGGGGTAGGGAAGGGATGCAAGATAACTCACCATTCATGGTATTGTGTTCAAAAAGAAAGAATATTTTTTCAATAAATGTTTATTAAATACACACTCTGTGCCAAACACTGTTCTATATGCTTGGAATGCTGAGGAGGTGGAAGGATCACCAGAGCCCAGCAGGTCGAGGCTGCAGTGGCTGGGAGTGTGCCGCTGCACTCTAGTCTGAGTGAGACTCCAACTCAAAAAAAAAAGAACTTCAAATCACTATTTCAAAAGTGTTTAAACAAGATTTTTAAAATAAGCATATGAGGGGGACCCCAAAATCCTGGAATTTATAAAAAATGGTGTATGCTTTCTAATTTAAACTTCAAAGTACTCTCTGTTTAATACAATACACCTATCAAGATGCTTTTCGGACTGCTTAAAATGGTTTTTGAATTTGTGAACTTTGATACCTTTTAATGGTTCTGCTGTTTTTTTGTTTCACCTCTTCCACGTGGGCAAAACATTTCCCTTAGAGGATTTTTTCATCTGGGGAAACAAAAAAGTCACTCGGGGTGAATAGGGAGGGTGAGTCATTGGGACCATACTGTTTTTTGTCAGTGCAGTATGGTCAGGTGTGTTGTCATGGTGGAAGAACCAGTTGCCTGTTTGCCACAGTTCAGGATGTTTTTTCCTCAGTGCAGCCTCTCACAATAATGCGCGCTGGTACACTGATGCTGATGGGTTTTCTAGAACAATTATGTACCAGGGGGAAGCCTGTACTACAAGGGACCGACCCTCCAAAAAATAATTCTGTTTTTTTGGGGGGGAGGTCCCACCTTGTAGTTAATAATATTGCCCTCACTAAATAATATGTATAATAATTTATAAAGAACAAAAACATTTTACTTTTTTATTTTTATTTTTTAGTCAAAGTCTCTGTCGCCTAGACTGGAGTACAGTGGCATGGTCATGGCTACTGCAGCCCAATCTGCTGTGCTCAGGCGATCCTTCTGCCTCAGCTTTCCAAGTAGCTGGAACTACAGACCTGTGCCACCACGCCTGGCTAATTTTTTTTTAATTGTAGAGATGAGGTCTTTCCATGTTTCCCAGGCTGGTCTTGAATCCCTGGGCTCAGGCATTTTACTATTAATAAATACAATAAAAATCCTTTAAAAATTGTTTTTCATCTTTTGTTTTTATATTTTTAATTTCAGTTTTTGGTTTTACAGTAAACAGTACAGTAGTAGATGTATGTATGTAGCTTATACATTTTTATAGCATACAAAGAAAATAATATTTGAAGATTATTCCTTTGGAGAATGGAGAAAAAAACAGATGAGCCTGGGTTGCCCCTGAGAACATCCCTGAACTTTTAGTAGACCTCTAGACTGGTAGTATGGAAGAATGTTTTCGTGTTGTATAGGCCCCTGGGAGCGAAGTGACCATTGCCATCCCTGCAGTTGATTATGAAATGCCAAAGCAAACACCCTGGGTGTACCCCCCTTTAGGACTTCATATTAATACTGCAGGAGGGTCAGGACATGTAGACAAGCTGGGAAAACCTCAAGAAACATTTCAAAAGCTCTATTCCTCAATATGACCGACCCTTCAGGATGATCCATGGAGACATGAAAGAGTTAAGCAGGCAGCTTGATGACGTGCTTCTCTACCGCAATGAAAGTTTAATTCTGGATTGTTAAGTGCCCAGTATGGAAGCCATGATTGAACCCGACAAGCCTGTGACTTGGGCACCTACCCAGATAGCTCCGAAAATTCACTAGACTCATGTGTACATAACAATCACACAGACCGTCAGTTGGAAACCGTAGAGAATGCAAATCAGTAGACCCTGGACCACTAATGCACAGTCCCACCTCTTTCCCTGATACCTTCCTCTCACTTGAGTTCCAAGTATCCACCTTTGGTAATCCATCAGTAATCCTGAGCTTTTCTTATGTTTGTTGCCCTTTCCACACTGTTTTGAAATTATTTTTTTATATACTCGCCTCCTTCTCTAGAATGAGTGCTTCATTTCTCTCTGTGGTCTCTGGCACAGTAGACACTCAAACATTTACTGAAGGTATAAGTGATCATCCTGTCACCTTTGGTTCTGGGTTGGTTGACTGACCACATAACCACTCTCAGATCTACAAGAACAATTAAGAGTCCAGTGAATGAATATACATCATTGTGTTTTTGTTTCATTCAGGGAAGCAATTTCAGTAATTTTAAAGATTGTATCCCAAGCAAATGCTATGGACTGAATTGTGTCTTTAAAATTCATGTGATGGAGCCTTAACCCCAAACATGATGGCATTTGGAGATCAGGCCTTTGAGAGAGAATTAGGTTTGGATGAGGTCATGAAGGGTAGGGGCTTCATAATCCTTACTAAGGATTAGTGCCCTTAAAAGACACCAGGAAGCTTATCCCTCTGTGTGCACACATAGAACAGGGAAAGGCCTTGTGAGCACACACAAAACAGTGGCTATCTGCAAGCCAGGAAGAGAGCCCATACCAGAACCCAGCCCTGCTGACACCCTGCTTGGACTTCTAGCCTGCAGAGCTGTGAGAAGATAGGTTTCTGTTGTTCAAGCCCCCCGCTCTGTGCTGTTTTGTTATGGCAGCCCTAGCTAAGACAGCAAACAACTTGGACCATTTTCTGTACCATAATTCTCATGAGAAGTGAGTCTGAAAAGGCTCTGAAGTTAGAACCAGAGGAATCGGGGCCTTGCTGAAATAAGTGTATGTTTATTCCATTGACATTTTAATATTTGGCTTGCAATGTAGAACTATATGACACATTAGTGGCAGGACTCTTACCTGTCTAGGCTCCTCTTTCTGTTGCCTTAGATTTTTTTCATCTTTTTGTGAAATTCCAGGACAACACATGATTGCGGAGAAAAAAATATATATATATTTATATATTTGTGGAGGAATTTTCTTAGATATGGAAGCCCAAGTTCCTGATGATAATCTTGGAGGTATAATAGTTTCTATGACTGTTCTTTAAGTCCTTTGCAAAGATACAAAACGGACAGTGGCATGTCCTCTAGAGAACTGCATAGTCCTGCTGTAGTATTTTGAAGTGGTCTTATAAATACCGAATTTTTTAAACAAAACACATGTGTCTAGTCACAGGTTTAAATTTTAATCCTTCCATGTGGTTTCTTAAAGGGTATTTTTTTTTACTTACAAGATTTAAAGATTTTTAGAAGAAGGAGGTCTATATTCTTTCTACTGTTTCATGCCACCGTGCCACGTGGTTCAGAAAGGGGGGTCCAGAGCCAACCAGTCTGGGTTTTAACACCTGCTCCTCCCTGTACCTGCTGTGACCTTGACATTAACCCTCAGTTTCTTAAGACAATGGAGATAACATTAGAACATATCATAGGACTATTAAGACCAAATGAGCTATATATGTTTTAAAGCACTTAAAACGAATCGTGACACATAAATCTTTGCCATTATTATTAGCTACTAGCTTATAAAATAGTTCATATCATCTTCTATTTTAAAACATTTTTTAAAAGATTTATTGTGATAACTGTCTTACCAAGTAGGGCTAATTTTAAACTATATTATTCTGGTCTTTTCTGAATCTTATCACAAACAAATGCTTCAGATCATTTCTATCAGACTTCCCCCCTCTGTTTTCTAACCTTTAAATTACATTTTTGTGTGGAATGCCATAATCTGTATACTGCTTATCTTTTATGCTTGTATTTTATTGTCTTAAACATTTTCTGATATTTGAGCATATAGATTATTTCCAATTTTTTATGATTCCAGTTGGACCTGCTTGACAAGCTTTTTCCTGTGAGTTAATTGCTGGGGATTTTTTAAAAAGTGAAATTTTTGAGTCAGATTTTGTTTTTATAAAATCTTTTGTTATAAATTTTTTCAGGCCAGTTGCAGTGACTCATGCCTGTAATCCCAGAATTTGGGGAGGCAGAGCTGAGAGGATTGCCTGAGCCCAGGGGTTCAAGATCAGCCTGGGCAACTTAGCAAGACCTTGTCTCTACAGTAAATTTTTTAAAATTAGCCAGGAGTGGTGGCATGCACTTGTGGTTCCAGCTACTTGGAAGGCAGAGGGGGAAGGATCACCTGAGCCAGCAGATTGAGGCTGCAGTGTCTGTGGTCATTCCACTACAGAGTGAGACTCTGCCTCAAATAAATAAATAAATAAATTCTTCAAATGTTCTCTAAAATGCTTCTGTAATCTAGTATAAATAAATAAATATAATAATTATACATATCAACCATTATAAGCACTGACATTAAAAATTTAAGAATCTATGCATAATGATTTAAGTATCTTTTAAAACTTTTGAATATAAATTATAACATACCAAAAGTTTAATAAAATAACAAACAGTATTGCAAATGGGCATGAAGTTTTACTTTTCTAACAGATAGAAGTTACTATATGAGGGAGGACCCCCCCCAAAAAATCCAGAATTTATTTATACAAATTGTGTATTCTTACATGTTTAAACTTCAGTCACCTTCAAAGTACTCTCCGTTTGATGCAATACACCTATCGAGTCACTTTATCTCCTGCTCAAAACAGTTTTTGAACTCATCAATTTTGATGCCTTTTAGTGCTTCTGTTGTTTTTTGTTTCACCTCTTCCACATTGGCAAAACATTTCCCTTTGAGGACTTTTTTCATTCAGAGAAAAAAAAGTCACTTAGCGAGATTGGGTGAATAGGGAGGGTGGTGCATGGGGGGGTCCCCATGCTGATTTTAGTCAAAAACTGCTGAACACTCAGTGTAGTGTGGGCAGGTGCGTTGTATGGTGAAAGAACCAGTCACCTGTTTGTCACTACACAGGATATTTATTCTGCAAATTGTGATGCAACCTTCTCAAAACTTCCAGATAAAAACTTAAGTTGATTGTTTGATCCAGAAGAACAAATTCTGATTGTACAACAAGGGGCCTGCTCTCTAAAAGACAATTCTGGTTGTTTTGGAGGTACCTCTTCGTAATTTAAAAAACTGACTTAGAAATATATTAAGCCATAGATCCAGTTAATCCTAAGTTAAAAGCAATCTTTTAGATTTTTGATGTATAATTTAGTTCATGAGAAGAATAATCCACTAAGAATAGTCATTAAATCAACAAGATTGATGATTTATTTTCGATATAGTATTATTTCCCTGTTATATTTTAGTATATTTAAAGAACATTTTGTAGCACAATTATAACTGTTATAAATGTCAGTGTAAGAAATTTAAGAATTAATTAACAGTGATCCAAATTACCTTTTTTAAAATTTTTGAATTAGAGCATAGGAAATTCTGTACTGTCCACTGCACTGGTTACTTGAGAAGCTGGCCTCCAAATACTGTTGGGATGGAAGAAGAAAGGGACAATAAGAAAGACAGCAGCAATTTTACCTGCCTTGTTGCTGTTGGAAGATTACACCCATATATTGTTCCACAGAACAGTGGAGAGATTAAAGTGAAACCAACTGAATTTATAACCCGGTTTACAATAAATGGAAAATTTGTCTACGTGGATCAAAGGTAAACATTTACGTGCCATAATGCTTGGAGTTCAATGGGATATTTGAAGCTGTTAAAGAAGTGGCTTAGTAGTGCTGTCGGATTTTTATGTTAAGGCTTCAGAATAGGAAACAAAGTTTAAATGAAATAAGGTTATGGATAGGTCAGTAAACTGGTTCAGGCCGAAATGTAAACTTGGGATAATATTTCTTAGCCAGTGGTACAGAAACTGAGCATGTCTGATCACAGTTGTCCTGCAGACAGTAGTTAGAGCACACCCTGGATTGGATGGGGACCTCATGCCTGGGTATCTGATCTGTTTTACTGCTTTGGTCTGTGTCTAGGGCACCCTAAGGGGGTCCAGTCATGCACATGGGTTAATCGTCCCGCAGGCCACTTCACTGCTGTCCTGACCATACATGGACCTTCAGTATTCTGGGAGGGGCTCCATTTACTACCAGTTCTGAAGTTTATTTTCCATTTGAAAACCAGGACAACAGCAATTTTAGGATATCTGCCTCAGGAACTTTTGGGAACGTCTTGTTATGAATATTTTCATCAAGATGACCATAGTAATTTGACTGACAAGCACAAAGCAGGTGGGTATGCTTTGAATGGGGTGCTTTTTTGGTAATTTTGCTTTTTGTTTTTTGGGGGGTTTCTTTGAGTCAGAGTCTCACTCTGTTGCCCATGCTGGAATGCAGTGGCACACTCATGGCCACCCCAGGGTTGACCTGCTGGGCTCAGGTGTTCCTTCTGCCTCAACTTTCCAAGTAGCTGGAACTACAGGTGCACACTACCACATCCCACAAATTTTATTTATTTATTTATTGTAGAGATGAGGTCATGCCAAGTTGCCTGGGCTGGTCTCAAACCCCTGGGCTCAGGCAGTCCTCTTGCCTTGACCTCCCAAGGTGCTGGGATTACAGGCTTGAGCCACTGCACCTGGCCTGGTAATTTTGAATTACAGCTTTAACTCTTAATTTCCCATTCCTGTGAAATACAAAACTTGAATTAATCCTCATGGCATTGATTTTTATAGTGGTAGACTATTATGCTGATATTTATCTTTTCTTGTTAAGTTCTACAGAGTAAGGAGAAAATATTTACTGATTCATACAAATTCAGAGCAAAAGATGGCTCATTTGTAACTTTAAAAAGCCAGTGGTTTAGTTTCACAAATCCTTGGACCAAAGAACTGGAATATATTGTGTCTGTCAACACATTAGTTTTGTAAGTAATTTTTTATTTTAATTTCACATGAGTATCCTTGCTTTTTTCTTCTCATTTTGCTTAACCATTAAAACTCTGGCCTTTTATTATAACTTGAGATATATAATTTGTGTACTTCACTTACTGTTCATTGGCATTAGTTCTGTGAATTAAGCTAAAAGTTTGTTCTTTTGTAACATATTCCATCTTTCTTGGTATAATATATGATAGCAAAGGCATTTATTCAAGCATTTCCTTCCTGCCCTCTAGGAATATCTAATAAGGGATGTGGGTGCGGCTTTAAGCTACATATCATTGTACAACATTGTTTTGTCCTTCCCATCATTTTTATGCATACATCTTCTAAGGCTGGGTGCTACATGTGACTATACAGGGCATGCCCAGCACAGAGGTGAGCAGAAATCCTGCTCACATGTTGCTTACCAAGCCCTGATCTACAGCTGTGCCAGCCCAAAAGAAGAGCCATCTTTTCCTGATTTGCACAATAGGCTGGTCTGGCCTTGTTCTAAGTTTTATTGTTTCTCTATAAGCTTTACTTTAAACTAGCTATAAGATTTTATCAACCCAATTCTGTTTGCTTATCTATAATGGTGAGTGAAAAAAGAAAAAGGTTTACTACCTCTAGTATTTCTTGTCACCCACTTGATAATCCTTGCCTTTTGATCATTATAGTACATGAATGGATAGTTTGTTATGTGTAATTTATACTACATGTTCTGGGAAATGCCCTCATGCTTAGCACATCAATATCTTGATCTCTGGTGGTGATATTTACAATATGTGTATATAAAACATGAGTGGGCAAATAATTGAGCAATATACAGAGCTTACTGTAGTTGCTGTAACAATTTTCTTCACCATAGAAAACAAATCACCTTCTATGTTTTTTAATTCTAGGGGGCATAGTGAGACTGGAGAAGCATCACTTTTTCCTTGTAGCTCTCGATCATCAGAAGGTAAGTTTGGTTCTAGATGATGGAAGCCTTGTGACTAAGGTGTATTATTAAGATTGTTACTATCTTCTTATGTCTTGGGAAGGAATTTCAAGATGCAGTTGAAAAGCGTTCTATGGGTTGAGTTACAGGGATCCCACCTTTGGTTTAGAAGTAAGAGACAAGGTCCAAAGGGAAACAAAAATCCCATTTCAAACTTCCAGGGGTACCACCATGTCCCCTCTCAAAATTTCTACTGCAGTTTGTTCACATTTGTGTTATAATCTTAATTGTACTACAATTAATTGTTCACTCATCTGGCTTTCCACTGGACCGTGCGTTCTTCAAGAAGAGGAATGGGTTTTATCCATTATCCACGCCTAGCAGCTAGCGTTGTTCCTTGTCCGTTGGGACACTCACTAAATATCTGTTGGACAAATTAATAAGTATTAAGGGAGTAGGCTTTTTTTTTTTTTTTTGCTTATCTGTGTTAGTTTTTCATCACAGGAATATATTTATGTATTTTATTTACATAAAAAATGGTAATGTTAAAAATAAAGTAGTATTGCTCTGGCTTTAGTGTGGAGATTAAAGTGGGAAAGGACTGTACTCAAGGATCCCAGGTCATGATTGTGCCCTCAGTGACTCTACACACTCGAGGCATCTCACTCTTCATAAGTATCTTAGAATATCATGAGCTGTGTTTGTAAAGCAGGAATGAATGATTTTTAACATTTTAGGATGCAGCTAGTTTGTTTCTCTAAAGGAGAGAAGTAGGAGATTATTTAAACTGAAAGAAAAATAACTAAAGTTTTATATTTTTTAGAGGCCTCAACTGAATTTTTCCTTTTGCTCTTATTTAGAATCCTCTAGACAGTCTTGTATTAGTGTGCCTGGAATGTCTACTGGAACAGTCCTTGGTGCTGGCAGTATTGGAACAGATATTGCAAATGAAGTTCTGGATTTACAAAGGTAATGTTTTATTGTTGTAAAAAATATTTTTACAAGTAAAATTATTACCATGTTTATAAAACCAATTTACAACAATTAGTAGTTTTCTTATATGCAAACAATAGCCAGTGTTTTTTGTTTTCAAAGTTTTAAAACAAAGTTTATTAGAGAAAGAAGAAGGAAAAATAGAGAGCCATGCCAGAGCTGACATGGGTGAAAGAAAATGCCACTAGTTTAATATAATGGAGGAGATGATCACCTTTACAGTATTAGCAGAAAAGAAAAAATTTTAAGAAACAAATTTTACAAGAAGTATTCAGACCTACCTACATTTTTAAAAAACCCTTAAAATTTGTGAAAGTACATAAAAGATAACTCAAATACCTTTCTTGATTTAAGCTGTTTTCCAGTGTGAAGTCTCTGTATTGTGACTGTCAGTGTTCTTTAAACCAGCCTATAAATTCATTGTGAGTGTAGTCAACATTCCACCATGCATTTGTTTTTTGGAATGCAACAGATTATTCAACCATATTAAATATCCAGAAAACTCATGAAAAATAAAAGTAATAAAGTAAGACTAGCCCTATCAGATATTAAAATGTGTTATAAAGCTACTATCACTAAAACATTTTCGTGCAAATAAAAAAATAGATCAATATAAAAGATTAGATTATAAAAGATTTCCTAACCCAAGCCCTAACCCTCTATAGAGTAGATTCAAATGCATATAGAAATGTATAAGGTGTTTTAAATATTAAGTGGAAATGAATTAAACATTAAAGGGCATTATCATTGTATAACCACTTGGAAAAATAAAATGAAGTTAGATCCCAACTTTATTCTTTACATTAAAATAAATTTCTGAGCCGGGCTCTGTGGCTCAGCCTGTAATCCCGCACCTTGGGAGGCTGAGGTGAGTGAATTGCCTGAACCCACAGGTTCGAGACCTGCCTGGGCAACTTGGTGAGACCTCATCTCTTCAATAAATCAAAAACTTAGCCGGGTGTGATAGCACGCACCTGTAGTTTCAGCTACTTGGAAGGCTGAGGTGGAAGGATCGCCGGAGCCCAGCAGGTCGAGGCCGGGGTGGCCAGGAGCAGCCACTGCACTCCAGTCTGGGCAACAGAGTGAGACTCCAACTCAAAAAATAAAAAATAAATAAAAAATAAATTTCTGATAAATCAACAAGTTCAAAGTGAAATTATAACACCATAAAAGTCTTTCAAGAACACATGTATGGATTTTTATAACCTCAATTTAAAAAATTCTTTCTGAACATCACACAAAACCTAGAATGTATTTTTAAAATTTGATAAATTTAATTATATAAAAATTCAAAACTTATGTATGACTATACTATTATAACAACGTTAAAAGATAAACTGTGGAAATTATGCACATTTCATATGATGAAACAGAGTAAATATCTTAATATATGAAGAGTTTTATAGTATGAGGAATAGTTATTAAGCTTTATATATATATTAAACTTTGTATATCTTTATGTATATTAAGTTCTATAGCGTAAAAAGTAGTTATTAAGTGATCTTTTAAAATAATACAATTTGAAAAGGTAGACAGTGAACATGAACAGAAAATAAAATATGAATGGCCAAGAATTTTTAAATTGCTCAACTCCACTCATAGTTAAAAAATATGTATACACAAAATTCAGCAATAATGAGATACTTTTTTAACTGAAGATTGTCAAAGATTTGAAAGTTTGGTAATCAGTACTCGTGAGAGTGTGATAAAACAGGCACTCAAACTGTGAAAATATGTAATAAATTGGTGCAGTCATTTGGAGGACAGTTAGATAATACCCGTAAAAAATGTAAGTGTATGTAATCTTGGACTCAGAAATTCTATCTTAGAAGCATGTATTCTTACATAGTTAAACAAAGATCTATGACAAGACTGTTCATTGCTGCATTGTGTACAGTCGTGATTTAAATATTTATAATTACAACTTGTTATGGTATATCTATACAGTGGAGAGCACTACAACTATTAAAAATGAAGTGGTTCTATTTATGCTAATATGGAAAGACCTTTAAAATATATGGTAAAAATGAAAAGGTACACAAAAAATAAACAGAAAAAGAAAAAAAGTACAGAAATTGGAAAAAAAGAAGTTTATATGTATATACGCCTTCTGTCTGCCTAGTTTATTTTACTGAATATTTATTGGATACTTACTATGTGATATATGTGTACTTTAAGTATTATAAAGCATATGCACAAAGGCGTGTGTGTGTGATCTATCATAAGCTTTGATTACAAGTCTTTTCACAAGACTTACTATGTAAAATGGACTCCAACATGTACATTATTAAAAACTGAAATGTGTGATTAGCACACTTTTAGTGTCTAATTCTAGACTGACTTTCACCACAGGATCCAAGGTCCCTTCCGATTTTAAGACTTTACAACTCAGTGATCTAGGTAATGAAAAAAAGCAATGGCAGTGGATCTAGAAGTCCATTTAATTTGATTTAATTGTTTGAGTTGGGAGTTCTGTTGTATAGCATGGTAACAATAGTTCCTTATAATGTACTGTATACTTAAAAATTGGTAAGAGTAGATCTTGAACATTTTCACCACAAAAAATGGTAATTGTGTGAGATGAATATGTGAATGAGCATAATTTATTAATTTCAGTGTTTACATATATCAGATCATGTTTTACACCTCAAATGTACACAGTTGTATTTATTGATTATACTTTCATAATGCTGGGGACATGAACCACAGAATAAAAATCCAGCCAAGCTATTTACATTGTTTGTTCTTTGGAAGATCTCCAAGACAGGTCACCAATCTTCTCTGTTTTTCTTCCTAAGCCATTTCATTCCTCTGTTTCAGTTTCTTCCTCTATAATTCCTTCTCAGTCACCTCCTTGGAAATACATAAAGACATAAAGCTATATTTGCCCATTCTGTTTTCTATGTGTGTGTTTCATTTATTTTTTTAACTGGGGATGACCTATTACAGTACAAATAGGATATTTTTTCACATTAAAAATATTCTAGAATGTTAGTAAATTTTGCTTTACTCTCAGTTCTGCTGTTTAGTATCTTGATGAGGAACTGATTTTTGATGTCTGTATTTTAAATGGTGTTGTGTTATTCTGTTATTTTTCTATGTGCTGTATTGACAGGCGATATGATTTATTCAAGAGCTTTTACCTGCCGGGCTCGGTGGCTCAGCCTGTAATCCCACACCTTTGGGAGGCTGAGGTGAGTGGATTGCCTGAGCCCGTGGCTTCAAGACCCGCCTGGGCAGGCGAGACCTCATCTCTACAATAAAATCAAAAAATTAGCCGGGCGTGTAGCACACGCCTGTAATTCCGACTACTCGGAAGGCTGAGGCGGAAGGATCACTGGAGCCCAGCAGGTCGAGGCTGCGGTGGCCGGGAGCAGCCACTGCACTCCAGTCTGGGCGACAGAGTGAGACTGCAACTCAAAAAAAAAAAAGAGCTTTTACCTGAGAGCTTTATTTTTCTATTTACTATAGAATGCTTTTTTAAAGCACTGTATAGTCAAAAATAAGTCTGGCCCCTAGCAAGCCAGTCTAACTGTGAAAGCTATTATGATATTCAGTTTCAAGTTCCTCACTGTATTTTTATCAGTACATTATTATGTATTTAGAGGAGAAAATTTCCTCCTAAAATATGTAAAAAAACAACAGATGTTTTATGATTCACTTTTTAAAGGTTACAGACTTCTTCATCCCTTGATGATTCAAGTCCAACAGATTTAATGAAAGATACTCACACTGTAAACTGCAGGAATGTAAGTACACTTGTACATGATAATATTTATGAAATAAATAAGCAATAAAATTTGCTCTTTGTTGATTATCTTATTTAAGAAAAGAAGTCATTCTGTAAAAAAATAAATGAATTATTTCTGGCCACTCAGTTGTTTTTAAGTAGTGGTATTACATAATGGTTAAGAGTAAGCCTAGACATATATAGCAAGCACTGTCTCTAAAAAAAAAAAAAAAACACGAAACATTGACTGGGCATGGAGCACTACCTGGAGACTAAGGCAGGAGGATCACTTGAGCCTAGGAATTTGATGCTGCAGTAAGCTATAATTGTGCCACCGTATTTCTAGGTGGTGGCATGCATCTGGGTGATGGAGTGAGACCCTGTCTCCAAAAAAAAAAAAAAAAAAATGTATGAAGTTGCTGGAAGCATAGGATCTGACTCATACTGCTACATAACCTTGGGTTTGTTTCTTAATCTTTTTGTGCCTTAATAACCTCAGGTTTGTTACTTAAACTATGCCCCGATTTCCTCATCTATAAAGCAGAGGTAGTAATATCGTTGATCTCCTGGAGTAGTATGAGAATTAAGTGATTTAAAACAAAAACAAACGAAATCTTACAATAGTGCGTGGCACATAGTAAGTGTTCAATAAATGGTAGCTAGTATTGTTACTTAAATATGTTCCAGTTCAATGGATTAAATATACTCCTTGTAGTTTGAAAGAAACATTTACTTAATATAAGCCACAAGAAAAATACCGTATACTACGTTTAATTCAATTGAACAAATACTAGTTATTTGAAATACATTGCTGCATATAAAAAAGATTACCAGGGCCAGGTGTGGTGGCTTATGCCTGTAATCCCAGCACTTTGGGAGACTAAGGTAGAATGATTGCTTGAGCCCAGGAGTTTGAGGCCAGCCTGGGCAACATAGTAAGACCTTGATGCTACAAAAAATACAAAAATTAGCCAGGCGTGGTGGCATGCACCTGTAGTCCTATCTACTCAGGAGACTGAAGTGGGAAGATCGCCTGAGTCAGGAAGTTGAAGGCTGCATTGAGTTGTGAACGTTAGCCTGGGCTACAGAGTGAGACCCTGACTCAAAAAAAAAAAAAAAAATGACCAAACCTAGTGCTATCTGGAAGACTAAAATACAATATGATTCTAATATAGGATGGACAATAAACAATAAAAAGCTTTAAAGTGGGTATATAAACTAAGCGTATTAGAATATAGGAGAAAAGAGAAATTTTATCTGACCAGAAATGAACAAAAACTTGAAAATACAAATAGCAGAAATCTTCTGGGCTATTATTTATTCATTCATTCATACATGTAGCAAATGTTTATTGGGTGCCCCTCGTGTGCAAGACAATATGCTAAAGAAATTTAAGTTGTAATAAACAAAAATGTCTTATATATATTATGTAGGCATTCTATAGACAAAGTATATCAACTTAATAAGACAATATAGGTAATTGCTTTCTTATTTTGTGAGCTACATTGATTATTAGATTGTTTGGCCTATCACTATGGAACAGTATAAAAACTTTTTGATAGCATGTGGCTTAATCTGTTTCCCTCTCCAAAGCAGTATTTCCCATAGTGTTTCATGTGAGATATAGTTTTGCCATTATTTTTTGAAAAATAAATAACTTTGATCCCAAGCAAAGAAGATTTCTTCTTAATCCAAACCTTTTTATTATAGTAGTTATCTTCAGTTATGGAATTAAGAATGTGATCAGGCTTGGTGGCTCAGCCTGTAATCCCAGCACTTTGGGAGGCCACGGCAAGTGGATTGCCTGAGCCTGTAGGTTCAAGACCAGCCCAGGCAACTTGGCGAGACCTCGTCTCTACAGTCAATCAAAAATTAGCTGGGTGTGGTAGTGTACACCTGTAGTTCCAGCTACTTGGAAGGCTGAAGTAGAAGGATTGCTGGAGCCCAGTAGGTCAATGCTGGGGTGGCCGTGAGTGTGCCATTGGGTGACAGAGTGAGATTCCAACTAAAAAAAAAAAAAAAAAAATATATATATATATATATATGTATATAAATATAGGCTTTGGAGTCAGGTAGACTTGGTTTAGAATCATGAGTTCAGCACCTTGGGCAAGATATTAGTCTTTTTAGGTTGCAGATTGATTATGTAATTCCACCTCCTCACAACATTTGAAAAATAAAATGAGATGAGGCATGTGGAGATCTTGGCATGTAGTAAATCAGGAAATGCAAATTGCCATATTGATTATCATAGTGGTGGAGCTGGAGGCAGCCCAACGTGATAAGTGCTAAGAGTCTCTATTTCATTAAAGTAGGAACACCTCACTGTTTATTATTCTCTTTCCAGATGTCAAATAAGGAGTTGTTCCCACTAAGTCCTTCAGAAATGGGAGAGCTAGAGGCTTCCAGGCAAAACCAGAGCACTGTTGCTGTCCACAATCATGAACCACTCCTCAGTAAGTTTTCTTGGGGAGCTGGTGACCATTTTAGTTTACCAAAAACTCCCTCTTAATCACTGTGTTTTCAGGCCCAAGAGATTTCTAGAGAAGCAAATAGTTTTAAAACTAAGATTTTTTTCATTCAAAATTCTAAATACAATAGTCATACTCTTGATTTTAAAATGTGTGTTACTCAATGGACCTGCCATTAAGAATTCAGTTGTAAACTAAGTTAGCTATGAATATTACCAAATGTACACAATTTAAATAAAACTAAAGAATTTTTATCCAGAAAAAAAGGTCCAGTCACAAGAATTACCAAGAATTTTTGAAGTACACAAGTCATGAAAAGTTTAAGATGCATTCATTCATTTTAACAATGTTTATGCAAAGTCCAAATCAAGTAAGATGAAATTAAATGGTGTTGTATGCTGCTATACCAGAACACTTCAGACTGGGTAATTTTTACCAAACAGAAATTTGTTTGACTCATGGTTCTGGAGGATGGGAAGTCCAAGAGCATGGTGCAGACATCTGGTGAGGACCTTCATGCTTTGTCATCCTGTAGTGGAAGGCAAGAGGGCAAGAGTAGGTGGGAGCAAGAAAGCAAAAATTGGCCAAACTCACTTTTATAATGAATCTACTCTCAAGATAACTCACTCTCCTGATGATGACATTATCCTCATGACCTAATCATCTCTCACCACTATTGCATTGAAGATTAAATTCCCAACACATGAACTTTGGTGGAAACAATCAAACCATTGTACCTGATTTCATATCCCCTACAACTAACATTGCTGTGCTGAAAGTGTATGTTAAAAAGAATAAAGGAACTTGAATATCAGTTTCACATACACATAGAGCCACATGTTAATCATCTCAAATTCTACTGTAGTTTGAAAGATATATGGAAATCTTTTGTTAATTTTTATCTGCACTTAACCCTTAATTTCTAGAACCTCTTTCTATGTCTGACTTAAATCTCATTTCTGGTTCCTCTTATTTCCTTTTTTAATAAAAAAAATTCTAGCCAGGCTTGGTTGCTCAGCCTGTAATCCTGTGCTTTGGGAGGCTGAGGTGAGTGGATTGCTTGAGCCCGCGGGTTGGAGACCCGCCTGGGCAACTTGGCGAGACCTCATCTCTACAATAAATCAAATATTTGCTGGGCACGGTAGCGTGCACCACTGCACTCCAGTCTGGGTGACAGAGTGAGACTCCAACTCAAAAAAAAAAAAAAATTCTGGTTACTCCCCTTTTAAAAGAAAATTTCATATTTTTGGAAGGTAATGCTTTTGTTTCAGCCTTCTCATTTCAGGATTAAACAAATACAGGTTTTTCACAAGGAAGATTAAAGTTAAATTTTTCTTTCCAGGCTCTCCACACACACATGCACCCCATCCCCTAGCTTCCAGCTCTCTGGGAGTTCATGTCCTTTAGCAGAGCCATTTTCTATTAGAAAACTTATAGATTAGCCTCACTTCAGTGCATCATATGAATTAAGTGCAATTTATCTGACAACAGATTGTTGTAAAAATGGATAAGCCATTAAAAATATATCAGGCTTCTCCAATTTAAAACATATACTTTCAAAAATATATTGTATTTTTCAATGTAATTTTACAGTGTATTGAAAAATACATTGTATTCTAGTCTCACTTTGCCATTTTTAATGATAATCATTTTTTAACCTCCAAATGTATGAAATGTATGAATATTGATCACCTTTGCTCACACAAGTCAATATTTTCATTCACAGGTGATGGGGCACAGCTGGATTTCGATGCCTTGTGTGACAATGATGACACAGCTATGGCCGCATTCATGAATTACTTAGAAGCAGAGGGGGGCCTAGGAGACCCTGGGGACTTCAGCGACATCCAGTGGACACTCTAGCATTTGATTTTTAACTCTAAAAATGAGAAGCATTTCATTTACAAAAAAAAAAAGTCCAATTCTTCAGTACTGTATTGATACTGTTTTTATTTTTTATTAATGGTCTACCAGTTTTTATAGGTTTGCACCTTACTCTCACAAGTATGTGAGGAAATGTGATGTTTTTCTCCCAAGAAAACCAGAGGTTATTACAGACCCCTTTACTCAGTGAACTGGCTTAAAATCCACTAGTTGCCATATTTTTGCTAAAATGTTTCTAACCAAGAATATCACATACATATTATTTTGGTTTTTATTTTTTATGCAGTTTGAGTTTGGGTAATATAATATATTGACATTTTCCTTTGTGTCTAAGATTCATTTATAATAGATTTGTAATAGTAGGTTTGTGTAACTGGGAACATTTCAATTTCTTGTATATTTCCTTAATTGAGGATAGGGCTATACACTTTAAGAAAACAGTGAGGCCAGGCTTGGTGACTCAGGCTCGGTGGCTCAGCACTTTGGGAGGCCGAGACAGGTGGATTGCCTGAGGTTGCGGGTTCGAGACCAGCCTGGGCAACTTGGCGAGACCCTGTCTCTACAATAAATCAAAAATGAACCGGGCATGGTAGCACGTGCCTGTAGTTCTGGCTACTTGGAAGGCTGAGGTGGAAGGATCACTAGAGCCCAGCAGGTCGACACTGGGGTGGCTGTGACCTTGCCACTGTACTCCAGCCTGGGCAACAGAGTGAGACTCCACCTCAAAAAAAAAGAAAAAACAGAGTACTTGAACATTTGAAGGGACAGTGCAATTTATAATCACAATCACAATGAATACTGTATTTGATCTTGGGAGACTTAGGCAAGCACAGAACCAGAATATTTATACTCAGTTGAATTCTTTAAGTTGGATTTTAAGTTAGATGATTTCTTACTTAAAACTCAAAGTCTCAAGAGTTCAACTTTGCTTACAGAAAAGGAAGGATCTTGGTGATTAACCTTTGCATGTATGATTTGCTCGGTATAATCACTCAAGATGTTCATTATAGATAGAACAGGTTTTTGATATTGAAAACATGCTTAGTGGTAGATCAGTTCTAGAGCAAAAAAAATAGGCCCAGACAGATTAAATGTCTTGAGTAAAGTCACACATTAAATAAATATATTTCTTAATGTTTAATGTATATAAACTAGTGTCTTTACCTACATTTGGTAAAGCAATGGTCTCACTGCTTAAATGATTAATTATCTGACCCAGGAACTTATTGTAGCCTTCTAGATAAAGCAATTACAGTTATCATTACCTGTAACCAAAGATAGTGAAATAAATTGCAGATACATTTTTAAAATCATGAGTCAATGAGGAATAATTTAAAAGCCAATTTTTTAGTTATAATTAAAAATTTGGAGAGCATTTTTTAAATCGTTATCAATCCAGAAGTGGCTCAAATTGAGTGTAAGAATTAAGATTATCTTAAATATTGAATAAGGGGGGACCCCAAAAAACTAGAATTTATAAGAAGTTGTGTATACTATTTAAACTTCAGTCCTCTTCAAAGTACTCTTTGATGCATTACACCTATTGAGATGCTTTTTCCACTGCTCAAAACAGTTTTTTGATTCGTCGATTTTAATGCCTTTTAGTACTTCTGCCATTTTTTTTTTCATCTTGTTCACATTGACAAAATGTTTCCCTTTGAGGACTTTTTTCATCTGAGGGAACAAAAGAAGTTGTTCGGGTAGATAGGGAGGTTGGGGCATGGGGTTCGTATTGTTTTGGTCTAAAATTGCTGAACACTCAGCATGGTGTGGACAGGTGTGCTTGCAAATCACCCATTATGAAATGGGCAAACACACTGAAAGAATCTAAAAAAAAAATTCTTTGAAGCCAAATGAAGCCTGTCACAACAATGCTAACTGGTACACTGATGTCAATGGGTTCCTAGAACACTTACCTAGAAGGGAAACCTGTACTACAAGGGGTCTGCCCTCCAAAGTATATTTATTTGGGGAGGGGGTCCCCTCTAGTATGTCTACCTTCTTGGGGATTGTACTTTTATCATACTTTGTTTTAATAGCTCTTTCTAGTTTACCAAGTGTGTTCCCATATATCCTCTTTCGTGCCTCACAAATGAGAGTAATAGAGGCTAGGAATTAATGGGAAGCCCTCAGACTCCATTGTGGAATTCAGTCCAGTCTTCTGTCTCTATCTGGTGCCAGACCTTTCCAGCAAATTTCCCTAAGAGCCCCTCACTAAACAACGCATTGTTTAGACCCTGCATGCTGTTTCTTTAGCTGTAGGTGATGGGTTAGAACTTCTGTCAGACACGTTCATGACAAACATACCAACAGGCAATAACCAAAAGCAAATATTGCCTTCAAAAGTGAAATTTGCAGTCACTGTGTGGACAAGGATATACCAGAACATTGTTCTATTGAGCTGATACGGTGTTCCAGCATTGTTGAAGGGTCAGCAACATACTGGTCTGACACATTTTGGCTTGCACGACATCCAGGTTTAGAATATGCCAAAGAAACCCTACAGGGTGGAGGGATTGGTGTGCAGTAGCCTTAGCTTTATAGTTCAGACTAAAGAAGTATGAAAGATTACATCAATATAATTTTTTTATGGGACTGAACCATTGCAGTTGGGCTTGGCATCCAAAGAGTCTACCTAAGCTGGTGGTAGCAGGATAGGTCATTGTGGCTGGATGGCCTCAAAGGCAGGTGGGCAAACCTTCACAACGCAAAGATTTGAGAGGCAGAGTTTCCAGAGGCAGACCAAGGCCACCTTGCACAGAGGCAGTTGTTTCTCTTTGCAAGATGAGGGGTTATTCAACAGACCAGTGGGCAGATAACCAATTGAATGCTCTGTGCATGGTTTGATACTTTATTAGATTCTTGTAATATTTTTCTGTACATCTTCTTGTCCTGGATTCAAAATCCTGTCCATGCATTGTATGATACCATAGCACTCCCAAGCTGAGTGTTTTCTTCAAAACGCCTTCATTCCATTAACTCAATTTGATTGCTTTTAGAAGTGACAGATATTTTTATGGCATACACCATACCACTTTTTTCTCCTACAAATTAATTTCTTGAATTTTGGTGGAAAATATATCTTTAAAATTGCAGTATCACAAAAAGAATAGTTTTGTTTTAACCCTAAGAATTACCACTATAATAATTAGTGGGATGGGAAGAGTGCCTAAAATAAGAAGACCCTGTTCAGCCCAAATTTAGCTGTGACCTCAAACAAGCCATTTAAGCTCTGCATGCCTCAGTTTCCTCATTTTTTAAAAGAGGTTTGATCTCTAAGTTTACTTTCGGCTCTGATTCTGTGTTTCTAATCCACAGGACTTGAGCATTAGGGTGAACCCTAGAACTGTGCTGTCCAGTACTGAAGCCACTAGTCACATGTGTCTACGAGCACTTGAAATGTGACCAGTAGAAAGTGAGAAATGTTGTAAATGTAAAATACATACCAGATTTGGAAGACTTAGTATTACAGAAAGAATGTAAAATATATTAACAATTTTATATTAATTACATGTTCAAATGATATTTTGGATATTGTGAATTAAATAAAACGTTAAAATTAATTCTACTTGTATCTTTTTGCTTTTTGAATGTGGCTACAAGAAAACTTTAAATTACACATGTGGCTCACATTACATTTCTTTCTTTTTTTTTTTTTTTTTTTTTGAGTTGGAGTCTCACTCGGTCGCCCAGACTGGAGTGCAGTGGCCGCTCCCGGCCACCGCAGCCTCGCCTGCTGGGCTCCGGCGATCCTTCCGCCTCAGCCTTCCAAGTAGCCGGAATTACAGGCATGTGCTACCACGCCCGGCTGATTTTTTGATTTATTGTAGAGATGAGGTCTCGCTGCCCAGGCGGGTCTCAAACCCGCAAGCTCAGGCAATCCACTCACCTCAGCCTCCCAAAGGCGCAGGATTACAGGCTGAGCCACCGAGCCAGGCTCACATTACATTTCTATTGGACGGTGCTGGTCTAGGACATTTTGTTAAGTGGATAGTATTGAAAAAGACCAAAGCTTATATCATACAGATGATATTTTTTTCTAAATACCAAGGTTAAAGAACAATTATTTATTGATATTTGATTCAGTGTGATCAAATAACTCTATCCACATACCAAATTTAAAACTTTTTTTTGCAAACAATAAACTTTAAAATGTTATCAGATATTTTCTTAAACAATGGCAGCCTGAAATCAAATGAAACTTGAGTTATATGGTCATCACTAAATTTGGAAATCTATTGAAAAACAGAAAGACAAATTGGGAAATACAGAATAGAGATTTTTAGTAAATAAATGGAATTAAAGGGAAGTGTTTATTTACAGTGACACAACAGAAAAGGGTTGTCATAGTCTTTGAGGAATCTCTGAAGAATCTGGAGCACAGATATATGAAATAGCCAATATCTAGTTACCAGACCTTGTTTAGTGGTGTCCAGTTTCAGATTCTGCTGTAAAGAAGTATGTAGCACCTCAGGTAAGTCATCCTTGGGCTCTGGAGTTCAATCTGGAATTGAAGACTCTGATTTGCCCAGCACAGTGTTATGGGCCAAGAAGGGCTGACATCTAAAATTATCCAGAAGCCATAAAGAAAAACTGCCAAAGTAGCCCCTGGGTGCCACTTTTCCATTTTTATAGTGTTTTGTTTTTATTAGTAGATTAACTTTTCCAAGTTCCATGGAGTTTGAGAGGCATCTATGACTTTTGTGTCTAGAATAAGTTGGCCTATCTGGTGTGCATTGTTTTGTGAGAAATACTTTCCAAGGGAAGTCTAGGAAAGTTCTTCTCATATAAGAACTTTGGCTTAGGGAGATTTCCAGATGTGGTGCCAGTGAAAACCTATCCAACGTGGAATATGCTTTTTGGACTCATCTAAGAGTGTATGGTGTATATCACTGCTTATACATTCTTGAGTTTAGATTTGTCTTTTATACAGTTTTTAGCTCTTTTCCAGTTCACTTGCTCTTGTCCTGTATATTGGTATTTTTAAAATTTTGTGGCAGATAATGAAAAGACTGGAATTAAATTATATTTTACAATAATTACTAGTTTGTAGTTTTTTTAATTTAATAAATTTCCTGCAAAAAAAGTGTGTCCTTAACTACTTTCTAATGTGGAAACATAGATTAGGGAAAGGGATACATATAATTAAGTTACCATATACTTTTTTGGGTGTGTTCATCAGTGTGTACTAACTGCTGTAACAATTCCAAAATCTCAGTAGTTTAACCTAATAAAGGTTTCTTTCTGCTCACATCACAGACCAATGTCATCAGCACTTTCTGTCCCTCTGATTCTCTATCGCCTCATCCCTCCCTGCCT